CTGTCTCAGGACTCTGGAGCAGCCCTGAGCTTTTTGGGTCCCGGAGCCATGAGTTTCAGAAGGAAATGTGCACGTTGGTGGGGAGAAAGTTCCAGTTCTTTGGAGGGCTATTAAATGTCTGACTCAAAGGTCACGAGCTGCAAATAACCGGAGAGAGCAATCAGAGGAAGCATCTCACCCTGATCTGCCTCCCCAGGCCTGATGTGCAGCTCGTTTTTGGGCTCCAGCAGGGAAAATTCCCATTTTTGTGCTAAATAACTGCTCTGCTCACAGGTGCACAGTGTGGTTGGGGGTGTGGCTGGATCCTGGTTCGTGCCTTTGGTAGTGGGAAAGGTTTTGTGCTGCTCTGGTGACTTTGCCAAACTTTAATCATCGTCTGTCTCAATTTTTATTTTTTAATTTTTTTTTTCTGGAAACTTTCTGCAGAAAAGGAAGTTTGCAAGAATCAGAGCAGAAAAATTTGGGTTTACCCTGGTGGAAAAACTCTCAGGGGGCTTTTCTTGGAGCAGCATCAGCCTCGTCTCTGTTTGTGGAGCAGGAATTTGCTGTCTGGTGGGGAGGGGAGGGATCCACCCACATCTGGCTGAGGCGCAAAGCCCCTGAAACTCCCACTCCAGAAAGAGTTATCACAACTTGGCACCCGGCTGCTCCAAACATTACATCTTCCCCGAGCATCATCTGCTCCCTTATGGCTCCTGCGGGACGTGGCCGGAGCTCTCTGCGTGCAGGGACAGCTGAGGGGGTGCAGGGCTTTTCCTGGGGCTCCCACCCCTGGAGCTGCTTTCCTTGGAGCTCCCACCCTCATATCTCCCATCCCTGGAGCTGCTTTTCCTGGAGCCCCCATCCCTGGAGCTCCCACCCTTGGAACTCCCACCCCTGGAACTCCCACCCCCGGATCTCTGTGCTAAGGAAAGGAAAGAGGAAAATGCCCCAAACGCTGGGATTTTGTGGGATCCTGCAAGGAAACCCCTCGGGGACACACGAGATGGAGGTAGGGGACAAAAGGATGTGTGGGAATTGTGAGGATTTGGCACTGTCCCCCCAGAAGTGGGGCTGGGTGGTTTGGTGGTTTTTTCTCTTTCTGGGCAGCAAGGTTTGGTTCCTAATCAAAGCCAGCACCCCAGGGCCCAGCAGGGTTAAACGAGGCACCCCAGCTCCAGGATTTCCTATTTCTGGAGTTCTCCCTTTGTAATCTTCGTGTTCTTTCAACACGCTCCTTTTGGTGTGGTTTCTTGTTTAAGTGTTTTTAATTTGAGCTCCCTCCCTCCAGCTCATTCCTGCTCCTCTGTGCAGGGCTCTGGAGAAGACCTTTTCCCTTTTATTAGAGAGGAATGTTTTTAATCACCCGCATTCTTCAACCCGCCTGAACTCTGAACCTTTCGCAGCAGATCAGCATAAGATGGGAAAGGCTTTTATAAAAGAAGATGGTTTATTGAAAAAAAAAAAAAAACAAAAAAACCCAGCCTGGATTTAACTGCTGCTCCACCTCAGAACGAGCTGTGGGCAGGCAGGGAGGAGGGTAGGGAGAGACTGGGATGAGGGCAGGGATAAACAGGGATGCAGGTGAGGATAAATAGGGATACAGGTGAGGATAAACAGGGATACAGGTGAGGATAAATAGGGGTACAGGTGAGGATAAACAGGGATACAGGTGAGGATGAAGGCAGGGAGAGACTGGGATGAAGGAAGGGATAAACAGGGATACAGATGAGGATAAACAGGGATGCAGGCAGGGATGAAGGCAGGGAGAGACTGGGATGAGGGCAGGGACAGACAGGGATGCAGGCAGGGATAAATAGGAATACAGGCAGGGATGCCCAGAACAGCAGAGCTGGGGGTGCCACTGCTTTGCTCCTCACTAACCTTCCTGCCCTGCTTTGTTTGCCTCTTTGCTCTATTTCCCCCTTATGCAAGCCCAGCTCTGTTGAGGGCTGATTTGCCTCTTTAAAAACAATCAGGAAATGCCAAAGCAAAGATTTCTGTGCTGGGTTTTTTTTTGTCTTTTCCGGGATGGCTGGCTGGGAGCAGCGTGGTGGTGTCCCCAGTGTCACCAGCCCTGCACTGCCACCCCCAGCCTAGGGAACTCGCTGCCACCAAATTTTCCTTGTCCCAGAGCTCCTCAGGAGTCTTGAGGTGCTGCAGGGTAAAGTGGGGCTCCCCAGCCTCCCTCTGTGTCTGTCTGAGCCCGTGGCCCCTCGGCTGCGTTCCCTGCTCCGTTCTGAGCCGGCAGCCTGGAAAATGCTGGTAAGGAGTGCTGCTAACGGGGCTGGAGCACAGAGCCCTCATTCATGGCCAGGCACTGCAGGGAGGCTCCGTGGCACGGCCTCCCCTTCCCATGGAGGATCCACGGGCTGGATCTGCAGCTGCGGGCCCAGGGGTGGTTTGTGTGATGGGCTCCTGGCCCTGTGGATTTGCAGCCCCAAACTGGGCAGCCTGGTCACAAACTGGGCATCCCAATCCCAAATTGTGCATCCCAATCCCAAATTTTGCATCCCAGTCCCCAGCTGTGATCCTAGTCCCAAACTGGGCATCCCAGTCCCAGCCACGTGTCCTAGTGGCTCTGGTTGTTTGCTGTAAGTGCTGGCCCCGGACCTGGCAGCAAACCCCAAATGAGCTCAAGCTGAACGTGGAGGTCACAAACAGCTCCTGGGGCAGGAGGGGCTTTGCCAAGGGGGTCTGGAGCTGAGGGTTCTGGAGCATCCCTGAGGAGGTGCCACGTGCAGGGCTCTCACACCCACATGAGGCTAAATCTCAAATATGGAAATGTGGGCGGGGCTGAGCCCAAATAATGAGGTATGGGTGTGGTTAAATACTTATTTGGGATTAGCCAAGCCTACATTTCTTTATTTGGGCTCGAGCCCCACCCCCATTTCCTATTTGGGTTTAGCCCCACCCAGATTTCCTTATTTGGGTTTAGCCCACCCACATTTCCTTATTTGGGCTCTAGCCCCAGCCACATTCCCTTATTTGGGCTCTAGCCTCACCCACATTTCCTTATTTGGGTTTAGACCTACCCACATTCCCTTATTTGGGATTTGGTCATGCCCACATTCCCTTATTTGGGTTTAGCCCTACCCACATTTCCTTATTTGGGTTTATCCCCACCCACATTCCCTTATTTGGGATTTGGTCATGCCCACATTACCTTATTTGGGTTTAGCCCTACCCACATTTCCTTATTTGGGTTTAGCCCCACCCAGATTTCCTTATTTGGGTTTAGCCCACCCACATTTCCTTATTTGGGCTCTAGCCCCAGCCACATTCCCTTATTTGGGCTCTAGCCTCACCCACATTTCCTTATTTGGGTTTAGACCTACCCACATTCCCTTATTTGGGATTTGGTCATGCCCACATTCCCTTATTTGGGTTTAGCCCTACCCACATTTCCTTATTTGGGTTTAGACCTACCCACATTCCCTTATTTGGGATTTGGTCATGCCCACATTTCCTTATTTGGGTTTAGCCCTACCCACATTTCCTTATTTGGGTTTAGCCCCACCCAGATTTCCTTATTTGGGTTTAGCCCACCCACATTTCCTTATTTGGGCTCTAGCCCCAGCCACATTCCCTTATTTGGGCTCTAGCCTCACCCACATTTCCTTATTTGGGTTTAGACCTACCCACATTCCCTTATTTGGGATTTGGTCATGCCCACATTCCCTTATTTGGGTTTAGCCCTACCCACATTTCCTTATTTGGATTTATCCCCACCCACATTTCCTTATTTGGGTTTAGCCCACCCACATTTCCTTATTTGGGCTCTAACACCACCCACATTTCCTTATTTGGGTTTAGCCCCACCCAGATTTCCTTATTTAGGTTTAGCCACACCCACATTCCCTTATTTAGGTTTAGCCCACCCACATTTCCTTATTTGGGTTTAGCCCAACCCACAATTCCTTATTTGGGTTTAGCCCCACCCACATTCCCTTATTTGGGTTTAGCCCACCCACATTTCCTTATTTGGGCTCTAGCCCCACCCACATTCCCTTATTTGGGATTTGGCCATGCCCACATTCCCTTATTTGGGACCTGGCACCCAGCACGGGACATTTTGTGCGCTCAGGCGAGTGCTGAGTTGTTGTTTTGTTTTTCTGGCTGCTGTCTCTCCCCCAGCAGCCCCCATCCATCCCTCCCGGCTCCGCTTCCGCCGCCACTGTTTGTTTTTGTAGGGACTGAAGCAAATGATGCAGAGAGAGATTCCCAGAGCTTCCCCTGGGCTCTGCTCCCTCCTGGGGGTGTCTGGAGCAGCCCCTCCTTCACCTGGGGTGCCCCAAGCCCTTCCCACCCTTTCTGCACAGCCCAAATACCTTCCTACCCTTTTTTCCCCAAAATCTCTTCCCACCCCTTTTCAAGTGTGTGACTGGCACTGTTTGGGTGTGTAACTGGCACTGGTTTGGGGTGTAACTGGAACTGGTTTGGGTGTGTAATGGGCAATTTTAGATGTGTAACTGCTACTGTTTTGGGGGTGTAAGTGACACTGTTTGGGTGTGTAACAGACAATTTCAGGTGTGTAACTGGCACTGCTTTGGGGATGTAACAGATGATTTCATGTGTGTAATTGGCACTGTTTGGGTGTGTAATGGACAATTTCAGCTGTGTAACTGGCACTGTTTTGGGGGTGTAGCAGACAATTTCATGTGTGTAATTGGCACTGTTTTGGGGGTGTAATGGACAATTTCAGGTGTGTGATTGGCACTGTTTTGGGTGTGTGATGAGCAATTTCAGATGTGTAGCTGGCACTGTTTTGGGGATGTAACCGGCGCTGTGTTGGTGTCCCCACGGGGCACTGTTTGGTTTCACCCCTCAGGGAGGTTGTTCAGGAACATCTTCACTCCAGAGCCCTTCTCCACCACAATACCAGGGAGAGGCACCTGCAGCACCCTGGATCCTCCTTCCAGAAACCTCCTTCCCCAGCAGATGGAGGAGGCTCTGCATGCAGAGGATGCTCCGTGGGTGGCAGCTCCCTGACCCAGCCGTGTCCCTTTGTGTCCCCTCAGCTGCCGTGAGCCCGTGCCCCTCGCCGCGGGTGCCCCAGGCCGTCCCCATGGACCTGCGCATCGGGCAGCGCCTGCTCAAGCCCCAGGACACGGCGCTGCTGGCCCTGAAGCAGCAGCAGCTGCAGCACCAGCTCTTCCTGGCCAGCCTGCACCAGCAGCAAGTGGAGCAGCTCGCCCACCAGCACGTCAGGGTATGGGATGGGGCAGGGGGGGCACACACCCCACTCTTGGCAGGGTTTGGGCGCTCTGGAGGGTGAATTTTGCTCCCAGAGGCAGAACCAAGGATGGTTTTGAGTTCCCCTCTCTGGGCAGGGATTCAGAGGAAAAGGCTGGAAATCCCAGTGCCAAAATAACATTCCCAGGTGAATTCCTGCTTTTCCCTGAGCTGGAACATCTGGAGGGGTTTCCAGCCAGCCCAGGGAGCTCTGTGAGGCAAGGAGGCTGCTTGGGGAGGCAGGTGGAGGGTGAGGTGTCTCAATTCCAGCCAAATTCCAGGGCTGGAGCTCCAGGAGATCCCTGTGGGGCCAGGGCTGCTCTGCCCCGGGGGCAGTTTGGGACCAGGATGCCCAGTTTGGGATTGAGACGCACAATTTGGGACTGGGATGCCCAGTTTGGGACCAGGATGCCCAATCTGGGGCCGGGGTAGCGGCACTTGGCTTTTCTGGGTGGTGTCACCGAGCTCAGCTCCTGCCCCGTGCAGGAATTCACCTGTGCCAGGTTTCACTGGCGCAAGAATCCAGGGGGATTTGGCAGGGATGGCTCCTCCGGGAGGCTTCAGAGGGAGGCGGGTGGGAGGACACATCCAGGGAGGTGTGACCATGCCCAGGGACCTGTGATTGTGTCCAGGGACTTGTGACCACATCCAAGGAGTTGTGACCCTGTCCAGGGAGTTCTGACCATGCCCAGGGAGCTGTGACCATGCCCAGGGAGTTGTGACCACATCCAGGGACTTGTGACCATCTTCAGGCACTGAGATCCCCCCCTGCCTGTCCCCAGGGCTGCTCCAGGCTCAGGGCAGGAGTCAGTTCCATGGATCAGCTGTTTTTACCCTCCTATCATAGATTTGTTTTTTCCCTCCTATCATAGATTTTTCCCCCTCCTTCCCCCCCCCCTTTTTTTCCCCCTTTTTTTTCCCCTTTTGTACAAAGATTTTTATTTTTTGCCACGTTGCAACACAGCGGACATGCCCAAACACCCCGAGAGGAGGCAGCGAGTGGGAGCAGACAGGTTTTGACTTTTACAATGTCCCCAGGGAGAGCAAAGCGTCCCTGGAGACCAAAACGGGTCGGGTTTGTTGTGATGGAACAGCTTCACACGTTCCAGTGAGCCTGAGTGACACAAGGGACTGTCCCAGACCTGCCCTGTCCCCGTGTCCCCCTGCCTGGGGACACGGAGGGGTGACAAGGCTCAGGCAGGGCTGGGGGGGCGTTATGGGGCCTGTGCCCATGTCCCTGTCCCACAGGTGGCCATGGAGGGGTCACAGGGCTCTGGGAGGATTTATGGGGTCCCGTTTCCATGTCCCTGTCCCACAGGTGGCCATGGAGTCCCCTCACCACGAGGCTGAGCCGGGCCAGCAGGAGCAGGAGCTGCGCCAGATCCTCAACAAGGACAAGAGCAAGAGGAGTAAGAGGGGTCAGGGGAGGGGGCTCGGGGGGTTCTGCCCTCAGCCAGACCAAGCTCTGCCTTGCCCTGGGGGAAAGGGCTGGGAGAGCATCCACAGAGAGGGGCTGCAACCTCGCTGGGACCCTTGGGCTGGGTTTTCAAACCCCAGATGGGGTTTGCAGCCCTCCAGAGTGGGTTTGCAGCCCCGCAGATTGAGTTTTCAGACCCCAATCTGGGTCATCAGCCCCCCAGGCTGGGTTTGCAGCCTCTCAGGATGATGGGTTTTCAGCCCCCAGTTTGGGTTTTCAGCCCCCCAATCTGGGTTTGCAGTCCCAAATTTGGGTTATCAGCCCCCCCAAATTTGGGTTTTCAGCCCCCCAGTCTGGGTTTGCGGGCCCCAATCTGGGTTTGGATGCCCCAGTCTGGGTTTGCATCCCCCCAATTTGGGTTTGCATCCCCCCAATTTGGGTTTCAGCCCCTCCCAGCCGCGATCTCCCGGCGCCCTCTGGTGCCGGCGCTGGAGGAGCCGCCTGGGGCTCTCTCCCAGTTTTGGGACGCGCAGGGCTCCACATCGCACCTAATTAATTATCAATCGGTTAATTAACTCGCTCTCGGAGGTGCTGAATGCCGGCACAGATCCATAGAGTGTCTAGCTGTAAGAACAGAGCATTCCTGCTGGGACAGACAGACAGGGAACGGGGTGGGAGCAGAGCCAGAGCCAGCTGTGATGGAGCAGAGCCAGCTGTGCCCTTCGGGGGTCCCCATCCATCCCCAAGCCCTGGGGTCGGGGTCCTGCCCACAGGGACCCTTCAGAGCGGCTCTGAGCCCCCTGTGGTCACCGTGGTCACCGTGCAGGTGCCGTGGCCAGCACGGTGGTGAAGCAGAAGTTGGCCGAGGTCATCCTGAAGAAGCAGCAGGCGGCTCTGGAGAGGACCAGCAACGCCCCCGCTGCAGCCCTGCCCTACAGGTAAAGCAGCTGCCCCCAAAAGGAGCTGCCCCTGCCCCAAACTGCCCCACAGGTAAAGCAGCTGCCCCCAAAAGGAGCTGCCCTTGCCCCAAACCTGCCCCGGGGCAGCTGGGAAGGGGCTCTGGCTTCTGCCCGCAGGTCCCTGGAGCCCCTGGAGCCCGAGGGTCCCTCCCCTGCCATGCTCAGCACGTTCCTGTCCCCTGTGCCCAGCACTTCTCTGGACACCCCCGAGCACTTCCCGCTGCGGAAAACAGGTATGGCTCGGGATGTCCCCGCGTCCCTCATGGCCTCGGGAATGTCCCTGTGTCCCTCAAGGTCTTGGGATTGTCCCTGGGTCCCTAAAGACCTCAGGGATGTCCCCATGTCCCTCAAGGCTTCGGGGATATCCCTGTGCCCCTGAAGGACTCAGGAGTGTCTTCATGTCCCTAAAGACCTTGGGAATGTCCCTGTGTCCCTCATGGCCTTGGGAATGTCCTCGTGTCCCTAAAGACCTCAGGGATGTCCCTGTGTCCCTCATGGCCTTGGAGATGTCTCCATGTCCCTAAAGACCCCCAGGTTTGTCCCCGTGTCCCTAAAGACCTCAGGGATGTGCCTGTGTCCCTAAAGGCCTCGGGAGTGTCTTTGTGTCCCTCAGGGATGTCCCCATGTCCCTAAAGACCCCCAGGATTGTCCCCGTGTCCCCATCTGGAGCTGGCACTGGCCCCACAGAGCCCGCCCAGCCTGGGCCAGCCCTGACCCTGTCCCCACAGCGTCCGAGCCCAACCTGAAGGTTCGGTGCAAGCCCAGGAAGTGCCTGGAGCGGCGCAAGAACCCCCTGACCCGCAAGGAGAGCGCCCCCCCCTCGCTCAAGAGGCGCCCGCCCGACGCCATCGGTGAGGCCCTGGGGGCACCTCGGGGCTGGGCTGGGCTGGGACAGCTCCTGTGCCACCCCTGTGTGGGGACGGTGACACCTGGGGTTGGTGTGTCCTCTCCAGGGCCTGGGACAGCTCCTGTGCCACCCCTGTGTGGGGACAGTGACACCTGGGGTTGGTGTGTGCTCCCCAGGGGCCAGGCTGGGCTGGGACGGCTCCTGTGTCACCTCTGTGGGGGGACAGTGACACCTGGGTTTGGTGTGTCCTCTTCAGGGGCTGGGGTGGGGTGGTTTGGGACTGGGGAGCCTGGGGATGCTGGTGTGGGATGGGAGGTGCTGGTGTGGGATTTGGGGGCCTGGAGGTGCTGGTGTGGGATTGGGGAGCCTGGAGGTTTTGCTGTGGGTTGGGAGGTGCTGCTGCAGCTCCTCCCGCTGCTTTTGGAGCCCAGGCTGGACCTGCAGGGCTGGAATTGCCCCAGGTCTGGCGTGGAGGGCTCCCACTATGGAGTGCTGCCCTCCGAGGGGGATTCAGCCCCAGAAGGGTGGGGGGCAGAGCCTGGAGGGGCTTAGGGGGGGTTCTGTGCCCTCACCCCATGTCTGTGTCCCCCCAGACTCGTCCCCCAGCAGCAGCAGCACCCCCGTGTCGGGCTGCAGCTCTCCCAACGACAGCCTGCCCGCCGAGCACGCCGCGCTGCCCGCTGCCCCCGGAGGGGCCCACGAGGTCAGCCCGGGGCTTTGGGGACCCCTGTGGGCTCAGGGGGAGGGCACCACCCCAGCCCTGAGCCCCCTGCCCGGAGCTGCCTCTCCCTGCATGCTGGGATGCCCTGGGATGCCCAGGAGTGCCCTGGGATTCCCTGGGATGCCCTGGGGTGCCTTGGGATGCCCTGGCATTCACTGGGATGCCCTGGGGTGCCTTGGGATGCCCTGGCATTCACTGGGATGCCCTGGGATGCCCTGGGATGATCTGCGATGCCCTGGGATGCCCTTGAATGCCCAGGGATGCCCTGGCATGCCCTGGCATTCCCTGCTCTGGGGTGCTCTCCCCAGCCCATCACTTCTCCCACGCCCACCCTCCTTCAGGGTGCACTTCCCCTCTGCTGTCCTGTCCCGTGGGTGTCCCCAGGCTGTCCCCGTGTCCCTGTCCCAGTCCCTGGCTGGGAGCAGGGCTCTGACAGCTCCTGTTTGCTGCAGACGCCGCTGGCGCAGCGCCTGCTGATGCAGGAGAGCTCCCTGGCGCAGTTTGCCCTGCAGAGCGCGGCCTCCCTGCCGGCCATCACCCTGGGGCTGCCGGCCACCACCGGCGCCAGGGTACGTGCCCGGGCTGGACCCCAGCGCTGCGTCCTTCCCTTGGGGTCTGGGGCTCCTGGTGCTGCCCACGGGCACGGTGGGGACAATCCTGTGCCCTCCCAGTGCCATGTCCTTGTGTCTGTCCCTGTCCTCGTCCCTGTCTCCATCCCGGTCCTTTTCCCCATCCCTGTCCCATTGCTGTCCTTGTCCCTGACCCTTTCCCTGTCCCCATCCCTGTCCCACCCTGTCCCTGTCCCATCCTGTCCCCATCACTGTCCCCACAGGGTGACACAGAGTGCCGGGCGCTGCCCAGCCTGGCTCACCGTGTCCTGGTGCTCAATGGGCCGGCTGTCCCATCCTGTCCCTGTCCCCATCTCTGTCCCCATCCCTATGCCTGTCCCATCCCTGTCCCCATTGCTGTCCCCACAGGGTGACACGGAGCGCCGGGCACTGCCCAGCCTGGCTCACCGGGTCCCGGTGCTCAATGGCCCGGTGCTCCCGGGCTCGCACCCGCCCGTCTTCATCCCGGCCAGCCTGGAGCAGCACGAGGCCGGCAGCGCCCTGTCCCCCCGGCTGCAGCCCGTCATCATCCTCGAGCCCTCGGTCACCCACGCGCCGCTGGTGGCAGGTCAGTGTCTGGGGACATGGGGACAGTGACAGTGACAGCACAGTGACAGTGACAGTGACAGTGACGGTGGCACCCAGGCTGGGAATAGATTGGTTTTCTTAACAAACTGCTCACAACAGGATTGCTTTCACATGGGAACTGCAAAATGCTGGCTTGGCTTAGAAGAAGTGACTTCTAAAATCAGCCAGAGAAGGCCTGATTTTGAGAGGCGTTTCTTGATGATTTTTATATTTTGCAATATTTTTATTAATTATTATTTTTATATTATTATTTATATATCATTATATTATAATATAAATAAAGAAAAATACAAATATAGTATAATATAAATAAAATAATGATACCTTTATATTATTAACATTTTGCTATTAATATAAACGAATATCATTATATTATAATATAAATATAGAATAATATAAATATAGTATCATATAAATATAGTATCATATAACTAAAATAATATTATACCTTTATATTATTAACATTTTGCTATAAATATAAACTAATATATTATTGCTATTGATAATATTTTATTACATATTATTTTAGTATTTTTATTTTTAAAACATTTATTTAATTTTTAAAAATATTTGACACCTTTATATTTTCTAACCTTGCTGCACCCCCTCGCTGTGCCACCCTGCCGTGTCCCTGCAGTGCCAGGCCTGGGGGCCGTGCCCTTCTCCTTCGCCCCGTCGCTGGTGCCCGCGGAGCGCCTGGCACTGCCCGGGCAGCACAAACCGCTGGGCAGGACCCGCTCGGAGCCGCTGCCGCCCAGCCCCAGGGCCGTGCAGCAGCACCTGCTCTTCCAGCAGCACCACGCCCACTTCCTCGAGAGGCTCAAGCAGCAAACGCACCTGGGCAAGGTGAGACCCGCCGGGCAAAGAGAATGGAAACAAAAATATAGGGAAAAAAATTCATGGATGTGTCTTTTTATCTAATAGCAAAATACTGTTTACTCCCTTGAAGAAGAAGGACTGGCTTCTGCCTTAAAACTTCAAATTTGTTTTACATATTATATATTATATATTATATATTATATATTATATATTATATATTTTATATTATATTATATTATATTATATTATATTATATTATTTTACATATATAACATATAACATATAACAACATATTTAATATATAATTATATAGATTATATATATAATAATATATTATAATATATTATAATATATTATAATAAATATATAATTATATATTATATATTATATGTTATATATTATATATTTTGCATAATATAAAATATATATTATGTTTAATGTATTATATATTATACATTATATATTGCATATAATAAATTATATATTACATATTACATACAATATACAATATATTACCTATAATATAATATATAATTTATATATATTATTAATATATGAAATAGCAATCTTTAAAAACTTGTTTTTAGTTTCATTTTTCTCTCAACAACGTCTTATTCTATAACATCTCTAAGTCAGTATTTTTTATCTCCTTATATACAAATATAAAAAAATATATATCCGTTCATATACACACGCACACACACATATATATACATATACATATATATATATACATATATATATGTATATATATGTGTGTATATATATATAGATATGTATATTATATATGTACATATGTATATATACACACAAAAATAGAAGTTTATATACAAATATATACTCTGCGAGCGTTTGTTAGACTTGAGGAATTTCCTAGCCATGTGTTTCTCCCCACGCCCCGGCTGCAGCGCATGGCCAAGTCCAGCGAGAAGCCCCGGCTGCGGCAGATCCCGTCCTCGGAGGACATGGAGGCCGAGGGGACCCTCCCGGAGGCGGCGGCCGAGACTGCGGAGCCCGGCAGGGCCCGGGTGGAGCCGGCCCGGCCCGGCAGCAGCGGCAAGGAGCCCGAGAGGACGCAGAAGATGGGGCAGCCCCAGGAGGAGCTGGTCCTGCAGCAGGTGCGGCAGGGAGGGGAGCCCTGGGGACACGGGGCCGTGCCTGCCTGGAGCCCGGACAGCTCACTGGGACTGGGGCAGAGCTGCGGCCACCGCTGGTGGCAGCACAGCTGGGTATTGTCCCCAGATTGCCGGGCTTTGTCCCCGAATTGCCGGGCTTTGTCCCCAAATTGCTGGAATTTTGTGCTCAAGTTTTGGGCTTTGTCCCCAGATTGCCGGGCTTTGTCCCCAGATTGCTGGAACTTTGTCCCCAGGTTACCAAAACTTTGTGCTCACCTTGCCAGGCATCGTCCCCCGAATTGCCAGGTTTTGTCCCCGAATTGCCGGGCATCATCCCCAAATTGCTGGAATTTTGTGCTCACGTTTTGGGCATTGTCCCCAAATTGCCGGGCTTTGTCCCCAGATTGCTGGAACTTTGTGCTCACCTTGCCGGATTTTGTCCCCGAATTGTCGGGTTTTGTCCCCAAATTGCCGAAACTTTGTGCTCACTTTGCCAGACATCGTCCCCAAATTGCCAGATTTTGTCCCCAAATTGCCGTCTCTGTCCCATCGCTGCTGTCACTGCGGGGCTGAGCCGGCAGGGAGCAGCAGATGCTAGGACAGTCCTGTCCTGCTTATCCTGTCCTTGCTTGTCCTGTCCTGTTTATCCTGTTCTGCCTTGTCCTGTCCCATCCTGTCCCGTTTTGCCCTGTCCTGCTTGTCCTGTCCTGTCCCATCCTGTCCCATCCTGTCCCGTTTTGCCCTGTCCTGCTTGTCCTGTCCCATCCTATCCTGTCCCATCCTGTCCTGTCCCGGTTCCGAGCCCGTTGCAGCCTCTGGATCGGCTCAGCACACACCCAGCACGGCTCTGTCCCTGTCCCCCGTGCTGGGGACACTGCCCGCTGTCCCCTGACGCCGTCCTTGTCCCCAGGCCCTGCTGTGGGACTCCTTCCAGCGGGTGCAGCAGCAGCTCCTCAAGCGCCAGCCCCTGGCCGACCCTCCCGTGCTGCCCCCCGGCCACCGGCCCCTGTCCCGGGCTCAGTCGTCCCCGGCCACGGCCACCGTGTCCCTCCCTGCCCAGGACACCAAGGCGCTGGCCCTGCCCGTGCAGGAGCAGCCGCCCAAGCCACACTTCACCACAGGTATGGTCACACTGCGGGGCTGTCACCGCTGGGCAGGGACAGGAGGGGACCTGGGGGTGTCCTGGGGTGGCTCCACATTGGTCTGGGTCAGTCCTGGAGTTGGGAGTGACAGGAGAGAGCTGGGGGGGCCCTTCTCCGTATCTTGGGGGGCTTTTCCAGGCAGGGTTTGCCCACCTGGGCCCCGGCTGCATTCCTGGGGTTTGGGGCAGGATCTCCCAGGGTTGGGCAGAATCTTCCAGGATTGGGGCAGCATCTCCTGTGGTTTGGGGACAGAATCTCCCATGGTTTGGGACAGAATCTCCCATGGTTTGGGACAGAATCTCCCATGGTTTGGGGCAGAATCTCCCGTGGTTTGGGGACAGAATCTCCCAGGACTGGGGGCAGAATGTCCTGTGGTTTGGGGCAGAATCTCCCGTGGTTTGGGGCCAGAATCTCCCGTGGTTAGGAGGCAGAATCTCCCGTGGTTTTGGGGGGATTTTGGTCAGTATTTGGGGTCTCGGAGCCCCTGCAGAGAAGCTGAGGGAGCAGCTCTGGCGGTGCCTGGCAGGGCTGGTTTATGACTCGGTGATGCTGAAGCACCAGTGCTCCTGCGGGGACAACAGCAACCACCCCGAGCACGCGGGCAGGATCCAGAGCATCTGGTCCCGGCTGCAGGAGCGGGGCCTGCGCAGCCGCTGCGAGGTGAGCTCAGAGGGCTGGGCCCTTCTCCATCCCTCCTGAACCCATCTTGTCCCTCCTGATCCCATCCCATCCCTCCTGATCCCATTCCGTCCCTCCTGAACCCTCCTGATCCCACCTGATCCCTCCCAAAACCATCCCATCCCTCCTGATCCCGTTCCATCCCTCCTGATCCCACCTGATACCTTCTGATTTCATTCCACTACTGATCCCATCCCATTCCTCCTGATCCCACCCCATCCCTCCTGATCCCATTCCATCCCTCTAGATCCCACCCTGACTCTCCTGATCCCACCCCATCCCTCCTGAATCCACCCAATCCCTTCTGATCCCATTTCATCCCTCCCAATCCCACCCCACCTGATCCCTCCCTGTCCCTCTCAATCCCATCCCTCCCCTCCTCCCCCAGTTTGTCCCCATTTCTTTGGCCATTTCCCTGCTCTGCCCCTCTCCCCCTGGCCTTTGGGCTCAGCTGGACCCTGGGCACAGGCAGGGGCTGATCCCCCCAAACCAGCGAGTTTTACCAAACCCAGCTTAGTAAAACCCAGCTCTGGGCTCCCTGACTGCAGTCTGGGGGTGCTCAAGCTCCAGCCCCGGGGGTCCTGCAGGGGCATGGGGGGATCCCTCGTGTGTCCCCCCGGTGACAGCCGTGTCCCCCAGTGCCTGCGGGGCCGCAAGGCCACCCTGGAGGAGCTGCAGTGCGTGCACAGCGAGCGCCACGTGCTGCTCTACGGCACCAACCCCCTGAACCGCCTCAAACTGGACAACGGCAAGCTGGCAGGTGGGTGCCAGCCTGGGCAGGTGGGTGCCACCCATAGACAGGTGGGTGCTCACCCTGGGCAGGTGGGTGCTCACCCTGGGCAGGTGGGTGCTCACCTTGGGCAGGTGGGTGCCACCCATGGACAGGTGGGTGCTCACCCTGGGCAGGTGGGTGCTCACCTTGGGCAGGTGGGTGCCACCCTGGGCAGGTGGGTGCCACCCATAGACAGGTGGGTGCTCACCCTGGGCAGGTGGGTGCTCACCCTGGGCAGGTGGGTGACACCCCTGGGCAGGTGGGTGCTCACCTTGGGCAGGTGGGTGCCACCCTGGGCAGGCGGGTGCCACCCTGGGCAGGTGGGTGCTCACCTTGGGCAGGTGGGTGCCACCCTGGGCAGGCGGGTGCCACCTTGGGCTGGCCCCCAGCAGCTCCCCTGGGTGCTGGGCACAGCCTGGTCCCACCCTGGTCCTGCTTGCCCAGCCCTGAGTCCCCTCTGGCCCCTCTCTCCACAGGGATCCTGTCCCAGAGGACGTTTGTGATGCTGCCCTGTGGAGGGGTGGGGGTGAGTGTTCCGTCTCTGGGCCAGGTTTTGGGTTTTGGGGTCACTGCTGAATCCCTGCTCTGGGTTTTGGGGTCCCTGCTCCACCCCTGCTCTGGGTTTTGGGGTCACTGCTCCATCTCTGCTCTGTGTTTTGGGGTCCCTGCTCTGCCCTTTGGTCAGGGCTGTTCCTTTTTGGCCCCTCAGGATCTCGGGGCAGCTCCCGAAGCCCCTGGGCTGCCTGGGTGGGGGTGTTTGATGGAGGTGTTGGATCAGAGCAGCTCGGGGTCCTTGGGGATGTCTGAGAATCGCACTCTGGAGAGGGATCCTGGATCCAGGGGGGCTGGCAGGAGGGGGTCCCCACTGAGGGAGGGCAGCAGTGACACTGGGACAGCAGCTCGTCCCTTCTGAGGCCTCTCCATTCCCAGCTGTCCCTCCTGGTTTCTCTGCATTCACTGCCTCCTCCTCTTCTCTCCTCCTGTCCCTGTCCTGTCCCTGTCCTGTCCCTGTCCCATCCCTGTCCCTGTGTCCCTGTCCCTGTCCTGTCCCTATCCCTGTCCCTCTCCTGTCCCTCTCCCTCTCCCTCTCCTGTCCCTGTCCCTGTCCCTGTCCCTGTCCCTGTCCCTGTGTCCCTGTCCCTGTCCTGTCCCATCCCTGTCCCTGTCCCTGTCCCATCCCTGTCCCTGTCCTGTCCCATCCCTGTCCCTGTCCTGTCTCTCTCCTGTCCCTGTCCCTGTCCCTGTCCCTGTCCCATCCCTGTCCCTCTCCTGTCCCATCCCTGTCCCTGTCCTGTCTCTCTCCTGTCCCTGTCCCTGTCCTGTCCCATCCCTGTCCCTGTCCCTGTCCCATCCCTGTCCCTCTCCTGTCCCTGTCCCTGTCCTTGTCCTGTCTCTCTCTTTCAGGCCTCCTCCTGCTGCCTCTTCTGGCTCTGCTCCTCTCCTTGCTGGGCTCCAGCTCTGCTTTCCCTGCTCTGCCTCTTTCCCTGCTCTGCTCCTGGTGCCCCCCTGGGCACGGGGAGATCTCGCCCAGCCTCAGCCGAAGAGATTTCTGACTTTCCCGGCTCTGACGCGGTGCTGGTGTTTGGTTAAACACTAAAATGGGATAAAGCAGGTAAAGGAGGGCGCTGGGCGGGGAGGAGAGCGTGGGGTGGCCAATGTCACCTTAGGCTGGCACAGGACACCGATCCCTGCTGGGTGAGGCCGCTGTCCCCATGTGCTGTGTCCCCCTGTGACCCGTGTCCCTCCGCAGGTGGACAGTGACACCATCTGGAACGAGCTGCACTCGTCCAACGCCGCGCGCTGGGCCGCGGGCAGCGTCACCGAGCTGGCCTTCAAGGTGGCCACCAGGGAGCTGAAGGTAGGGGGGCCTGGGGGGTCCCAGGGCTGTCACCTCGTGGTTTGGGGTCCCTGAGTGGTGTCACCTCATGGCCAGGGGTCACAGGGCTGTCACATCAGCCAGGGGCTCCCTGGGGGTGTCACCCCATGGTTTGGGGTCCCTGAGTGTTGTCACCCCACAGCTGGGGGTCCTAGGGCTGTGTCATCCCATGGCTGGGGGTCCTAGGGCTGTGTCACCACAGAGCCGGGGGTCTCTGAGTGGTGTCTCCCCATTTCTGGGGGTCCCAGGGCTGTGTCACCCTACAGCTGGGGGTCCCAAGGCTGTGTCCCCCATGCCTGGGGGTCTCTGAGTGGTGTCACCCTGTAGCCAAGGGTCCCAGGGGTCCCAGGGCTCTGTCACTCCATGGTTGGGGGTCCCAGGGCTGTGTCACCCCATGGCCAGGAGTCCCCGAGTGAGGTCCCCCAACATCCAGGGGTCCCAGGGCTCTGTGGCACTGGGGACAGGGTCTGGGTGTCCCCCGGGGTGGCAGCTCTGCCCTGTTCTCTGCTCTGTCCCCAGAACGGCTTTGCCGTGGTGCGGCCGCCCGGACACCACGCGGATCCATCCACGGCCATGTAAGGCCCTTCCCTCCCCGAGGGAGCCCCAAAAGCGCCTCCAGGGCTCAAACCCACCCCAAAACCCCCCTGGGAGCCACCCCTGCCCCGGGGGGAGCTCGGGAAGGGCGCGAGGTGACTCCCACCCCTCTTGCCCCTCAGGGGATTCTGCTTCTTCAACTCGGTGGCCATCGCTGCCAGGCAGCTGCAGCAGAAGGGGAAGCTCAGCAAGATCCTCATCGTGGACTGGGTGAGTCCCCTCCGTCCCCAGGATGTCCCCAGGGCGTCCCCAGGATGTCCCCAGGGCCAGTTCCTGCTCCAGCTCTTGTGGGAGCGTGGCTGGAACCCCTCAGGATTGGGGAGCAGGAGCAGATCCTGCCCTGGGGGACCCAGCCCCGGCTGTTTTGGGGTCTGTGGGGTTCTGGGGCCGCCCAGCAGCTGCCAGAACCCTCCGTGGGTGTCCCTGCAGGATGTTCACCACGGCAACGGGACGCAGCAGATTTTCTACAGGGACCCCGAGGTTCTCTACATCTCCCTGCACCGCCACGACGATGGCAACTTCTTCCCGGGCAGCGGGGCTGCTGATGAGGTGGGACAGGGGGGACAGAGGGGACAGAGGGGACAGCAGGGACAGCAGGACATGGGGCTGAGCGGGGACAGGGCCCTGGGGGCTCCTTTCCCACCCCTGACCCTGCCTGGGTTGCCCAGCACAGGGATGGGGATGGATGGAAAGGCAGGAAAATCCCACAGGTCCTGACCCTGCTGTGGCACTGGGGAGGGGGGACAGGAACCCCAAAATGCTGAGAGGGGGTTGGGACCCCCAAACTGCTTCCCATGGCACAGGACAGGGGGCTGGGACCCCCAAACACCCTCCCATGGCACAGGACAGGGGGTTGGGACCCCCAAACCCTCCTATGGTAGAGGGCAGAGATCTGGGACCCTCACCCTGTCCTTGCTCCCTCCCAGGTGGGCGCTGGCCCCGGCGAGGGCTTCAACGTCAACGTGGCCTGGGCTGGGGGGCTCGACCCCCCCATGGGGGACCCCGAGTACCTGGCTGCCTTCAGGTACTGTCCCCATGCCCGTGGGCCGTGCTCTGGGTGGGGCTGACCCTGTTCCCCATCCCCTTTTCCCCCCCCCCATTTAAATCTGACCCCACTCCCCATCCCCATTTTCCCCCTGTTTGGGGCTGACGCCCCTCCCCATCCTTCCCCCAGGACCGTGGTGATGCCCATTGCCCACGAGTTCTGCCCCGACGTGGTTCTGGTGTCGGCCGGATTCGACGCAGCCGAGGGGCACCCGCCCCCCCTGGGGGGCTACAAAGTCTCTGCCAAGTGTAAGGAGGGGGCTCGGGGGGGGGGGCTGGGACCCCCTTGGGGTGGGGTGTCCCCCATTGGGGTCAGGTGTCCCCATTGGGGTCGGGTGTCCCCCATTGGGGTCAGGTGTCCCCATTGGGGTCGGGTGTCCCCCTTTGGGGTCGAGTGTCCCCTTCCCACCTGGGCTGGGACCCCCGGGAAGGGGCGGCCACTCCTGGGGAAGCCATGGAGATTTTGGGTTGGATTTGGGTAGGGAGAGGTGACACTCCTGGTGTCCCACAGGTTTGGGCAGAGGGAGGTGACACTCCTGGTGTCCCACAGGTTTGGGTAGGAAGAGGTGACACTCCTGGTGTCCCACAGGTTTGGGCACAGGGAGGTGACACTCCTGGTGTCCCACAGGTTAGGGCAGGGGGAGGTGACACTCCTGGTGTCCCACAGGTTTGGGCAGGGGGAGGTGACACTCCTGGTGTCCCACAGGTTTGGGCACGGGGAGGTGACACTCCTGGTGTCCCACAGGTTTGGGTAGGAAGAGGTGACACTCCTGGTGTCCCACAGGTTTGGGCACAGGGAGGTGACACTCCTGGTGTCCCACAGGTTTGGGCAGGGGGAGGTGACACTCCTGGTGTCCCACAGGTTTGGGCACGGGGAGGTGACACTCCTGGTGTCCCACAGGTTAGGGCAGGGGGAGGTGACACTCCTGGTGTCCCACAGGTTTTGGCTACATGACCAAGCAGCTGATGAGCCTGGCGGGGGGGGCCGTGGTGCTGGCTCTGGAGGGGGGGCACGACCTCACGGCCATTTGTGACGCGTCCGAGGCCTGCGTGTCCGCCCTGCTGGGCCACGAGGTGAGACTGGCACTGACCCGGTGCCACTGCCCCGGCCTGGGCACAGCTGAACCCCCCTTGTCCCCTGGTGCCACCACCCTCCAGGAGCCCCTGTGCCACTCCTGTGTCCTCCAGTGCCACCGCTCTCCATAAAACCCTGTGTCCCCTGGTGCCACCACCCCCTATGAACCCCTGTGTCCCCCAATGCCACCACCTCCCCATGTCCCCCATTGTCCCCCGCAGCCGGAGCCGCTCCCCGAGGACAGCCTGAGGCAGAAGCCCAACGCCAACGCCGTGCGCTCCCTGGAGGCCGTGATCCAGGTCCAGAGTGAGTGGAAACCTGGGACACCCCTGTCCTGGGACACCCCTAACCTGGGATACCCCTGTCCTGGGACACCCCTAACCTGAGACAACCCTAACCTGGGATACCCCTGTCCTGAGATACCCCTGTCCTTGGACACCCCTAACCTGGGCCACCCTTTACCTGGGCCACCCCTAACCTGGGTTATCCCTGTCCTGGGACACCCTGTCCTGAGTTATCCCTGTCCCAGGCTATCCCTATCCTGGGCTATCCCTGTCCCTGGCTGTCCCTGTCCCAGGCCACCCCCTGTCCCAGTGTCCCCAGCCCTGCTGTCCCCTCCCACAGGCAGATACTGGGTGGCCGTGCAGCGCTTCGCCTCCAAGCTGGGCTGCTCCTTCCTCGAGGCTCAGCACCACGAGGCCGACGAGGTGGAGACGGTCACGGCCCTGGCGTCGCTCTCGGTGGCCGTGATGGTGGAGAAGAGGTGACATTGCTGGGACTGCCCTGTGCCAGGGGGGTGGCAGCGGGGCAGGGCAGGGTCCTCACCCTGGGTGAGGTTCTGGGCTCTTGGGAACCCCGTGCTGGGCTCTTTCCAAATGGAAACCCAACCAAACCCTCCTGAGAACCTGTGCTGGGCTCTTTCCAAATGGAAACCCAACCAAACCCTCCTGGGAACCCCGTGCTGGGCTCATCCTGAATGGAAACCCAACCAAACCCTCCTGGGAACCCCATTCTGGGCTCTTCTCAAAGGAAAACCCAACCAAACCCTCCTAGGAACCCCATGCTGGGCTCTTCCTGAGTGAAAACCCAACCGAACACTCCTGGGAACCCCGTGCTGGGCTCATCCTGAATGGAAACCCAACCAAACCCTCTTGCCTGGGTTTTGGGGGTGTCAGCCCTGCCAGCAGGGTCCCCTCCTGTCCCCTCCCTGTGTCACTGTCCCCATGTGGCCCCTCACGTGTCCGGTTCCCTCGCAGGGCACAGGAGGAGCCCATGGAGCAGGAGGAGCCCATGAACCAGTGACCCTTGGGGACATTCCCGGCGTGGCCGCAGCCCCTGAAGATCCCGATCCCGTTTGTCCCCCTGGCTCCCGAGGCCCTGGGCAGGCCTGGATTCCTGGAAGGGACATTCCCACATCCAACAGGACGGGAGCACGGAGAGCCCCGAGCCTGGACTGTGCCCAAGCCCCCTCCCCAATTTTGGGGTGAAGCCCCCCAGCCCTGCAGCACTGACCCCCCCATCCCGGGACCCTCCTCAGGGGGAAGGGCCGGACATTGGGATGGACGCTCGGACCACTCTGGGGACGGCTCCCAGAGCCCAGGAGGAGCATCCCGGGGTTTGCTCCATGGGATGGGATCTCTGTGCCCTCTCCTGAGGCTCCCTGGCTCCCCTCACCCTGCTGGGGCAGGGGACAGAGCGGCAGGGACGGGGCTGGGAGCTCAGGAGCATCTCCAGGAAGGTTTGGAGCTCCCCAAGGAAAGTTTGGAGCTCCTGAGGAAGGTTTGGAGCTCCCCAAGGAAGATTTGGAGCTCCTGAGGAAGGTTTGGGGCATCCCAAGGAAGATTTGGAGCATCCCCAGGAAGATTTGGAGCATCCCCAGGAAGATCTGGAGCCCCCCAAGGAATGTCTGGAGCCTCCCCAGCAAGGGCAGAGCGAGGCCAGGGGTGGGCAGTGCCCGGGGGTCCCCGCTGCCCTTGCAGCCCAGTTTGCACTATGGACCCTGCCAGCCCTGACGTGAACCCGACTCCTCTTCCCAGGGCAATTTTGGGGACCTTCCCCTCCTGCCGAGGTGCCTCGAGCCCCTTCCAGCCCCCCGAGGCCCTGGCTGGGTGGGGGTCCAGCCCCTGAGCCCCTCCCCAGCCCAGGCTCCCCAATTCCCACCGGGGATCCCCCAGGGGTGCCCAAACCCCCTCGGTCCCATCCCTGTCCCTGCCCTGGGGTGACAGGGGCAGATCCATCCAGAGCCTCCAACACGAGGGTTCCATCCCAATTTTCCTTTTCCCGTTTCCCCAGGAGCAGGTCCTGTCCTGGGGGACAGAGGGGACACAGCCCTGGGGACAGAGGGGACACAGCCCTGGGGACACAGCCCTGGGGACAGAGGGGACACAGCCCTGGGAACAGAGGGGACACAGCCCTGGGGACAGCTTTGGGGACACAGCCCTGCCTGAGCTGGGCGTGGGGGCAGCTCCGGCCGCGGTGACGGGGGGGAGGAGATTTTGTATAAAAACAAAACAAAACAAAAAACAAAAACAAAGAAATTTTAAAAGAAAAAAAAAAAAAGGAATCAAAACCCTTGGTGTGGTTCAGGGTGGGGGTCCTGAGGGGGATGGAGGGACCTCCCAAGCTCCATCCTGCTGGAATTTACCAGGAGGAATCCACCATGCACAGGATGACATTTTCCTCATTTTAAGTTTTTTTTTTTCCTCATTTTAAAGTTTTTTTTTTCTCATTTAAAATGCAGCGATTTTTTTTAAACAAACAAGACGCACCAAAATACTTGAAAATATTATTTTAAAAAATATATTTCACCTTTTTGGTTGGAAGCTGGAGTCTCACTCCACAGATAAGTTTTTGCCCTTTATTTTTCAAGCACAATTTATTATTTTTTGAAAGAGGATTTTAAGTTCTGAAGCCGATTTTGTTTCTCAGCTGTAAAATCCTTCCCAAGCGAAGCCACCACAGCTCCGTTTTTAACAGAACTCTGATTTTTTAAAGCACCTCCAGATTTTTCTGAAGGCTGCAGTTGACTCCTCGGAGCAGGGAATCCAATCCCACTGCACATAAAAATTGGGAATTGGGTGGAAAAAGTCACTCTGGGCCTTCCTGTGGCTCCTCCGTGGATTCTCTGGTGCGCCCCAAACCTGATCACAACTGGAATTCCTCTCCCATGGAATATTTGGGGGCTCAGGCCTGTTGCAGCCTCTCTGGAAGGGATTTCCCCCCTCTTTTTCTGCCATAACAGGTGAAAAACCTGATTTTTGGTTTTGCCTGATTCCAATAAAAGCGGCCCAGCTGAGGGAGGTGCAGGGTGGACCTGGCAGCACCATTCTCTATGAAAAACAAGGATTGAACCCTGGAAAATTCCCCCTGGGCTTTATTGGGGTCGTTTTGGGCACCCCAACACCTCCATTGTCCTTTCCCCACACCCCCAAAAGAGCCCAAACCCGCTCAGAGTTCCCAAAATCCCAAAATTCTCGACAGCTCCGTCTCCAACCTCAATTCCTGATAAATCCTGAGGAATTGGGAGGTTCCAATCCAGGAATTGGGGCATTGGTGAGGCCAGTCCGTGGGGCAGGAGTGGCTGGGGGTGCCTGGGGCGGTCAGCAGCCCCCAAATCCCCCTGGATCCTCACAGTCCGTGGGATCACAATCCATGGGATCACAACACAATCCATGGGATGGTCCCGGCGCGGAGCCTTCGGAGCGGGATGAAAGCGGGGGGACCCCCGAGGTCCTTGGGGGGCTCCAGCCCTTCCCTTTCCCCTCATCCTGGAGGAATTGTCCTGCTCTGGGAAGGGCTCAGCTCTCTGGCGGTCCCACAGGAGGAAATTGGGATCTGGGGATGGTTCCTTACCTGCGAGCCCACAATAAATCACAGCGCCGCGTCCGAACCGACCCAAAGCAGCTCCTGCTGCGGCTCCCTCGGGCTCGTCCCTAAAGTTTTTGAGGTTCCTGGGGCTGTCAGGGGTTTGGGGTCCTTCCTTCTTCTCTCCAGGAAAGTTCCTGTGGGGTTTTGGGTGCTGGAGCTGCTTCCATCAAGGCGGAGACCTGCGGGGAGACAGCGGGGTCAGGTTGGGCTCAGCTCCCCAAAATCCTACAAATCCATGCCCTGGAACCAATGGGGTGAGCTTGGGCTTGGCTTCCCAAAATCCTACAAATCCATGCCCTGGAACCAATGGGGTGAGCTTGGGCTTGGCTTCCCAAAATCCTACAAATCCATCCCCTCGAGCCAGCAGGATCAGGTTGGGATCGGCTTCCCAAAATCCTACAAATCCATGCCCTGGAACCAACGGGTTTATTCCATCCCCTCACGCTTTGTCTCCAGCTGTCTCCTCCTCACCGAGAGCTTCCCCTCTCTGGAGAGGAGCCTGGGGAGGGATAAATCAAATCCTCCAGGAATTGTTCCCCGGGAAGGGCGGAGGACAGAGGGGAAAATCCCCTAAAGGCCAATGTGAGCCCTTGGGATGGGAGATGGGCACATCCATGGGCTTGAGGGCAGCCAAAATTTTGGTGTCATGGCCAGGCAGGACCATCCCAACCCAGCCCATGGGAAAATGGATCGGCTCCCTGGGCCCAGCAAGATCTGATCCCAAAAAACCACCCTCCTAGCAGGATTTTGGGATCCTCCGGAGGGCTGGACAAGATTTAACACCAAAAACCCTCACGGGAGCATTCCAGGGCTGCCCGAGGGCTGCGGGAGCTTTGGGAGGAGCCGAACCCTGCAGGATTTGGGATGGAGAAGCTCACGGAGCTCCATCCTCACCCTCCCTGGGTATCCCCGCCTTTGTCCGCCCCAGGAATGGGAGCGGAGGCCGGGCATGGATCCCACAGCTCCTCATTCCCCTCCGTGACAGCCGGGATGACAAACGGGCTCGTTCCAGAGGCATTCCCGGGGCCAGGCAGCTCCAGCGATGACAAACGGGCTCGTTCCAGAGGCATTCCCGGGGCCAAGGCGGCTCCAGCGAGCTCCTTGCAGGGGCCATAAACCCGGAGATATTTCCTCGTTCCCCAGGGCTGGATCGGTGATTTTATGTCTGGATTAATTTTAACTAATCCTCAGCAGTGCGGGGAGTCTGCCACGGAGAGCAGCTCTGTCCCCCTGGGTGGTTTTGTCTATTTTTAATGAAAATGTGGAGGTTTTTGATGGAAAAACGAACCCAGCAGCTCTGGCCTGTGACAATTCGGGGGATTTTGGGGAATGTCCCAAATCCCTCACCAGGGCGGCTCCTCCAACACCTCCCCTTCCACCCCGAGTGAAAACACAGCTCTGGGAAAAGCTGATTTTGGGGAACCCTCCAGGAACAGATTTCCCGGGATTTCAGCAGCTCCTCACCTCCCCTGAGAGCCCAGCCCCGAACTGGGGGTCCCGGACCACCCCGAGCACCTTAACCAGGGACAGATTTGGGGTGGGAAGGGATCCCTGCTCTCCTGTCATGCTGTAGAGGGATGCGGGGGATTTTAAAGCAGCTGGAGATGGATTTCCTGAGCAGGGAAATAAAAGGGAATAGGGAACAGGGATGGGAGCTGTTCCCGAGCTCCCGCAGTGCCCCGGAGCAGCGAGAGGTGTTTATAAATAAAAGCAAATGAAGCAGCCGCCAGACAAAGCCGATTCCAGGCGAGAGCAACAGTCCCCAAAGGGAAGATTTATCCAAGGTCTTTCAGGAGACACAATTAAGTGAGGGCAACGCGAGAGAGGCGATAAATCCAGGGAGACAAATGAAGGGCGAGGAACATCAGCCCTCAGCCTCTCCCCCCGGCACTTCCAGCTCCCGGCCTCATTTTCTCCTCCAGCAGGGAAAGAAACCATTTTAATGTGCCCAAGACTCGAGCAAAGCTGAGCTGGGGGAACTTCAAACGTGATTTCTGTTGCCTGAGGGCTCCATCCCTCTTTTTCCCGGGCTGATGTCTCCCGGTTAACAAGGGCACATCCAGCTTTTCCAGCCCCCTTTGATATTTAATAGGCCCAGTTCCACCATGCAGGGGCTGCTTTCCATTAGGAAATCCCAACCCCGAGCGCAGGGTTCGTTCAGAGCCTCCCTCCCCAGCTCGGCACCGCTTTCCTGGTTTTGGGGTTTTGCTGGGAGAATCCTCGTTCCTCTCCCTCCCTGCCCGGCTGGGATTGTTCACCCCAAAACGCCGCAGGTTTGTCCGGGGAGGATGATTCCCTCCCCAGCTGGAGGATGAAGGCACGGAGCACTCGGGATGGATTTTAACGGGATTGATGATCCCGCTTTGCTCACGGGAGCTCTCCAAAGTGACTGAAGGGTCTTTAATCCCTCTGTTTATCCCTCAGTTCTGCCAAGAACTCGGCTTAAATAAACAGCTCTGGGAGCCGCGTCGGGTTCTGCAAACAGAGGGAGCAAAAATGGGTCTGGGAGTGCTGGGGAGGGGGCTCAGCCTCCCCCACTTCCCCAGGGCAAAGGGATTTTAGTCGGGCTTTGTAAAATTCGGGATGAGGCCGTGCCGAGCAGCTTCCCTGGCTTTGGGCAGACCCCCACAACACCCCCAAAACCCGAGAATCCAGCCCCAAAGTGCCAAACCCAGAAGAGGGTGAGGGGTCCAGGGGGGCTCAGCATCCTGACGGGTCCTGAAGGATTTCAGGCATCCCAAAGTGAGGACAAGGGGCCACCCTCTCCTCCTCTGGCCAGCCCTGAGGGGAGGTGACCTGGCAAAAACAGGATTTAATGTCTGAAACAACAGGGTCTGCCCCGCAAAATTGATATTTATACATGAATTTGGCAAAGTGTCAGATTTCCTGCTGGCTGGGAAAGGGAATTTCAAGGTGGCCCATCCTGAAAGGAAATCCCCTGGGAGATGCTCGGCACCCCGAGCCAGCCCTGGCAGCTCCACGGCCTCGAATCTGGGGCTGTTTGGTGCCCGAGGAGAGGCAGGAGGAGCCCTGGTCCTGTCTGGGGACAGCGGGGCCAGGGTCCCATGAGGCATCCCCGGAGCTCCTGGCTCGGGAATGTCCTCTGGAACTTTCTGTTCCTGCTCTGCGGGAAGCGTTGGCGCCTCGTTAACCCCGCTCCTCCCATTCCCGATTCCTCCCAGCCCTAAAACTCTGAATTTTGGATTGTTCCCCTCTCAGCATCCTGAGCTGAATCCATCAGATTTCCCCACGCAGTGCACGGATCCCGACAGGATCACGGATCCCATCCCGAGTGCAGAGCTCTGGGAGAGGAGCAGGGGGAAGCCAGGCAGGACACGAGGCCACCCCAGGACAGGGCAGCTTTGACACCTCGGCAGCCCCAGCAAGACCAAGACGCGATTTGGGAATAAATCGGATTTTTAAAACCCCGTTTTGAACCTTTCCCACCCCTGCTGAGTAGGATCAGCTTGGGAACCGCCACGTCCTCCTGCTCTGGGGTCTGGTGGGACAAATCCCTCATCCCCAGAGCGCCAGGGGGGTGGCCGCAATTCCCAGTGGGTGACATGGCAGTGACATGACAGTGACACGACGGTGACACGACGGTGACACGGCCACACGTACCCGGCTCAGTGCGACGCCGACATGGACCAGGCGCCCTCCATCCTCCACACGGAGAAGGCGTAGCTGAGCCTCTCGTGGGCCAGGAAGTTGCAGCTGGTGGCGACCTTGTGGTCCAGCTCGTCGCTCTGCAGCACCTGGCACAGGAAGTCGATGTAGCGAGCGGCCAGCTTGAGCGTCTGGATCTTGCTGAGCTTGTCCGAGGGCAGCGTGGGGATGATCTTGCGCAGCTCGGCGAAGGCGTCGTTGAGGGACTGGGTGCGCTGGCGCTCCCGCACGTTGGCGATGACGCGCTGGGCGTGGGCGTCCTCGGGGGGCTGCGGGGCCGGGCTGCGGCGGCTGCGCTTGCCCTGGGCCTCGGGGGCTCCGCCGGGGCCCTGCCCGCGCTTGCGGCCGCTCTTCCTGGGCAGCCGCTCGGCCTCGTCCTCGCTGGTGGCCGCGCTGCCCTCGGGGGACTCCGGGGAAAGGTTTTCCTCCTTCATCTCCTCGGGTCCCGAGGCGAGGCCCGGAGCGTCCGCCCTGGGGCTCCCCGGGCGCCCCAAGCCCCGCAGAGCCCTCCAAGGAGCTCCTTGGCTTTTCCTTTGGGCCAGGAGAGGAGGGCTCTGGGATGACTTGGGGAACGGCTCCTGCTGATAGGGCGAGCGCGGCGGGGGCGGACCAGGCGCAGACCAATGCAGGGGAACGCCAGCGGCTCTGGAGCTTATGGGTTCCAGATTTCCTCTCTCCCTCCCCACCGCCACCCCGAGCCCTCCGGCACAGATGCTCCGGCTGCCGCCCGGATGTCAGGGACGCTCTCGGTGCCAAGGGAGCCCCAGCCATGGAGCTCGGCGGTGGCTTTGGGGGGTTTTTGAATTGATTTTTCAACCCAGTTGACCCCGCAAAGAAACATCCCCTTGTTTGGGGTGGAGGAGGAGACTTTCACCTGTGAGGGAGCCAGGTGGGGATGTGGAGCCACAGGGGTTGCAATGAGCGGGTCAGGAACTCCCAAAATCCAAAGGAAGAAGCAACCAAAGGGAGATCGGCATCCGTAGGGCTCTTGAGGAAAGGCTTTGGTCAAAATGAGCTTGAGTTTGTGTCCATTTGTCCATCTGTCCATCCATCCATCCATGGATCCCTCCATGGATCCCTCCAGGGATCCATCCATCCATCCATCCATCCATCCATCCATCCATCCATCCATCCATCATCCATCCTTCCATCCATCCATCCCTCCCTCCCTCCATTCCCAGCATCCCTCATCATCCTCATCACCCTCACGAGTAAATCCAGCGGCTCCTGGGTGGAAGAAGAAGGGGAAAATGAAGAGGAACAGGAAATGGAAGAGGAAGGGGAGCAGGAGGAAGAAGGGGAAGGGCATGACCTCTCTGGGAATCCTCCAGGACGGGATTGGGGCTGGATCTGGAGCCCTCTGCCCCAGCAGCGCTGCCGAGGGCTGGGGAGCTGCCACCAGCTCCAGCTGAGGCTCGGCCTGTGCCTGGCCTTTATTCCTTAATTAATTCTTCTCCTTTTTATTTTTTTTTTCTTTTCTTTTTTTTTTTTAATTGTTTTCCTTTTAAAAGAAAATAAAATTGAATTGAATTTCACCAGGAGAAGGGTTCTGGCCGGGGGAGGGGAGGTTTGGGATCGGGGCTGGGATCTCGGAGGAACACAATGAGCTTTGAAGTGCAGGAAGGAGCAGCCCCACACCCCAAGGGGCTTTTGTCCCCACATTTGGAGGGGTTGTGGCTTTTCCCTCAAACATTTCAATTTGTTCTTTCAGTGAGTGGTTTTTTTTTGGGGAGGATATTCATCCAAACTCCTCATGGAAAGGTCACGAGGCACCAAAGTGGTTTCAATAACTCCTCCAGCTCGCTGGGGGTTTTTCTGGCGCTGCTTTTGACACATCGGGGAAAATTTCAAGCCTTAAAGAAAGAAAAACAACTGAGCCAAGCCCAGCTGACTTGACTCAGGGAGAAGTCACCGGATGGGAGATTCGAATTCCCAATTCCTGGCCCCTCTGGACACGTCCCCTGTTGGTTTCACCCCACTCCCTCACATCCATCACACCCTAGGGGGATTTTGGGGGGTTTTTGGGGGAATCTCCTCCCAGGGGAAAAGGGACAGGACAGCAGGAAACAGCCTCGAGTGGTGCCACCAAGGGTTTAGGTTGGGCATTGGGAAAATTCCTCCAGGGCAGGACAGGGGTGGGGTGCCCATCCCTGGGGGGTTTCAAAGTGGAGGTGGCACTTGGGGACATGGTCAGGGTGGCCTTGGCAGTGCTGGGGAAGCGTTTGGTGCTTTCAGAGGATTTTGTTTTGCTTTGTTTGGAGATTTTCTTTCCAAGCTCCTTTTCTTTGTTCCGGAGGACAAAAATAATCCCCGTCTCATCCCGCGTGAAGGGGGAAAAAAAAAAAACCAACCAAAAAAAAAGAGGATAACGCTGATAAATGGGGAAGATGAAAGGGAGCCGGGAAGAGCCGCTGCCCCTGGAGGCCGGGAAGTGCCTTGAGACCCGCAGGTTTTTCCAGTTACGGCGGCCCCGGAGTGGAAACAGCTGCGGGGCGGCCAAACCCGCGGAGCATCCCTCCCGCCCGTGTGGTTGCTGCGGCAACCGCGGGGAATTTGGGGCGCTGGGATGGCGCTGGGATGGGGAACCCGCGGGGCTTTGATCCCGGCTGATGGATGGCCCCGCGATCCTTTCCCCGGCGCGGTGACCTCACGCTCCTGGAACGCGCTGGGATCCGTCAGAACGCGGGGCTGGAGGAGGAATGAGGGGTCAGGGGGTCCTGGGGGGGTCCCAGAGGGTGCAGGGGGTTCCTGGGAGCCATCCCAGAGTTCTCCTGTGGGATGGGGTCAGGATGAGCCACAGGAGCCGCCCCCCATCCCCGGGCTGGGCCCATCCTGTTCCACTTAATTCCGACACGTGAAAGTTTCTTCCCCCCTTTTCTCCGCCATCTGCTCCCATCTGGCCATCAAAGCAGCCAGGAACTGTCCTGAGCTCTCCCAGCATGGAGCTGGGAACGTTGGGAATGTTGGAAATGTTGGGATCAGCCCCTCTGAGCCCTTCCTGACCTCCAGGGCTGCCCTTGGGTCCGCATCGACCCTGGATCCTGCGTGGATCTGGTGTGGATCCCTCAGAATCCTGATGTGGAGAAAAGGTCCCCACGAGCTTCTCCCATTTCCAGGTCTCTCCTCCTGCTTTGTCACCCCAGGAGGGGTCCCCATGGGCTGGGGATGGGGACAGGAGGTGACAAACAAGGATTCCTGGGAAATGGGAGCAAGGGGACTCTGCAGGCCAGGAAAGGAATGGGGAGGAGGGAGCAGGAGCTGCTGTCCTGCACCTCGGGAGTGAATCAAAACCCCCAGGAACATCCAAGGCCAGGCTGGGATCCTCCAGCATCCAACTCCTGGGCACCTCTGACCCCAATTCCAGGCATCCAGAGGAGCATCCATGCCCTTTATCCCCCCACTCTCCTGCACAGGATTCCCAATCCCAATAAAAATCCCAATAAAAATCCCAACAAAGCCAGAAAATTAGATATTTTTTCCTCCCCTGGTGCACTGAACCTGGTTAGCTTTAAAAGGAATTGGATTTGGGAAAATCTGTGTGGTTTGCGTGCAGGGAGCTGGGGCAGATCCAGAAAAAATCCCAAAAAATCCATCCCGACATGGGCCTGCCCCACGCAGAGCCGCGGGATCCTCCGGTGGAGCAGCAGCTCAGGAATTTGTGGGAATCAGCACCCGCTGAAGAATTTGTGGGAAAGAGGAGTCCGGCAGTGCCCTTAGCAACCAGACAAACATTTGTGGGGGGTTCTGTTCCATCCTGGAGGGAAAAACCCTCTGGAAAAATCCGGGAAAGACGGTGTTGGGAGGGCAGGGGGTGAATTTGCCCCAGGGGTCCCTTCCCAGAAGATCTTCCCCATGGAGCAGACCCAAACTCATCCCTCGTGCTCCTGCTCATGGTAAACCTGACTGGAATTTGGGGTTGGGAACTGGGAGGGAGCAAAAATGGGAACAAAATTTGGTTTTTTTTTATCACAGGGGCAACCAGAGCTGGGTTCCATCCAGGGGAAGAGGGAGACACCCTGGAGAAGCTGCAGTAAATCCCAGTTTTCCTTGGGATGTTATCCAAGAGCAGCAGAGCCCGTGAGTGGGATGGGGATGTGGAGAGGAGGGAGGGATGGAGGGATGGAAGGATGGATGGATGGATGGATGGATGGATGGATGGATGGATGGATCCATGGATGGATGGATCCATGGATGGATGGATCCGTGGAGGGATCCATGGAGGGATGGATGGATCCACAGATGGATGGATGGATGGATCCATAGATTCACAGATGTATTGATCCATGGATGGATCCATGGATGGAACCACATCCCAGGGGAGCTCTGAATTATTTCTGTGGGAGCAGCTCTGAGATCCCTCACAGCTGCCTCAAGTTCCTGCCTCTCTGCTGGGCCAAACTGGAGCCCAAAGGGGGCTCAGAAAAGCCCCTGGAGCTGCAAACCACACCTGGAGCCACCGCTCACGGATGTCCCCGAGGCCTGGGTGTCCCAAGACCCTCAGACCATCCAGGGTGGGGGTTCCTGGCAGGAGCAGGGGAAGGACCCCCTGTCTCAGAGCTTTCCCCATCCCAGAGCTGCCCCCACCCCCTCGCAGCCCCGCAGCACATCTGGGACACCCCCGGAGCCTTCAAAGCCGTGTCTGGGGAGAGACGAAAGGCCCGGCTCAACTCCTGGCCGGAGATGAAAGGAAAGCTCTCCCTCGGCGGCTGGAACGAGTTCGCGGTGCTCCGGAGCGGGGCTGCAGGGGCCCGTTTCCTGCTGCCTTTCCAGAGGGAATCCACAGCAAATTCCCGGGGTGGCCGAGCCCGAAAGGGGCTCTGAGCTCCCCGAGGGGCTCCTGGGATGCTCGGTGGGCTGGGGGGGATGAGGGGCAGTGGGACGGGGAGGGAGAAGCTCCTCCAGGATGAGCCCAGGGCGGGGGAGCGGTGGCCGGGCGGATGCGAGCGCCAGATTTTCCTCATTTCATCCCAGGAAATTCTATTCCGATTAAAAGGCGTTTGATGTGCGCGGAGCGGGCGCGGGGGGAGGCCGGGTTGGGGTTGGGTTTCTCTGCAATTGTTGGGCTTTGTGGGGTTTGTGAAGCAGCTCGAAGCTCCCAGGATTTGGCGGCTGCAGAACGTGCAGTTGAATTTTGGGGTTTGTGAAAAGGTGGAGGAGGAAGGGATGGAGCCACGAGCGCCCGGGGCTCCTCCTCTCCCGGTTTTCCAAAGGGTTGATCCCTCTCCATCAGGGAAGGGGAATCCTCCAGCTCCTCACCCCCTCCATCACTAGGAATTAAAGGAATAAAAGGGATTTTTCCAGCTGGAAAAATGTCCCAGTGTCGTGGGAGGTTGAGGTTCTCAGTGGGACCACGGGGTCTTGTGGAATTTGGGGTTTCCCGAGGGCTGGCGGGGATGGATTTTGGGGTTTATCAGCCCATAAAAGGGGTAAAAGCCACTTTAAAGTGAGGCAGAGCCACGCCAAGGGCCAGGCAGGAGGAGCAGGGATGCTGCTTCCCCCTGGTCGTTATTCCAGCCCATTCCTCACGTCCTTCTGTCCCACTCCTGGCCGAGGAGGAAGGGAAGCAGTGACCCCTCCTTGGGAAGTGGTTCCAGCCCAGCTCCAGGCTGGGAAGGAGCAGAGGGACCCCCAGAGGGGCTGGGACCCCCCGATGACCCCTTTGGGCTCTCCACAAACCCCAAAACCCATCCCAAAAGCTCTTCCCAGCTACCCCAGCCTGGGGATTTTCAGCCTCCTCGTTAAGCACTGGGCCCATATTGAATCGTTTTATCCCTTTGGTTGCTCTCCAAGCTGAGAATTGTCCTAAAAATAACCATTCCCAGTTCTGTGTGTGATGTTCTCCCCCCTCTCGCAGCCCCTGGCTCCGGCCCAGCTCCCCCAGCTCCGGTGAGTTCATCCCGACACCAAATCTGCTCCGTTGGGGATCTGTAATCCCAGAGCTGCTCTCACCCAAAGCCCGGCTGGAGCACGAGGATTCCCTCGGGAACGGCAGCAGGGCCGGGCTCGTGTCCGTCTGTCTGTCCCTCTCCCAGCTGGACACGGCCCTGGGAGCCAGGACACTCCTCTGGGATCCCTGGCTCCAGCCCCAAGCTCTTCCTCAGGGGCTCTTCCAGATCCTCAGGATGCCGTGAGTGAGGTGGAATTTGGGGGAATTTTCTGATTTTTCCCAGCTGGGGAACAAAGGGCAAATCCAGGCTGAGCCAGCGCCGTGTCCAGGGAGCAGGGACACCACGTGTGGTGACATCCCCTGGAATGTCCCCTGGAAGGTTTGGGACACGTTCCTGTCCATGTCTGTGCACTTCACCCTCCTAGACCCCACTCCCAAGGAATGGCACAGACCTTCATGGAAAGGATTCCCCTGGGAACAGCGACGTGCAGGTCCCTCCAGGTCTGTCCCCAAGCCCAGACCATCCTGCAGGTCCCACTGGATTTGTCCCCAGACCCTCCTGCAGGTCCCTCCAGGCCTGTCCCCAAGCCCAGACTGTCCCCAAGGCCAGCACCACCCTCTGGAAGTTCCAGGACCCCTCTGCTGCAGCCCCAGAGCCACTGTGGGGACACCCAGCTGGGATTTGTGTCCCTGCACACCAGGACAGTGTCCCCAGCACCTCCCTGCCCCCCCAGAGCCACCTGGAGGGTCCCCAGCCCCACGAGGTTCATCCGGAGCTTTTGAGGCGCCGCTTCCGCCCTCGCCACATCTTGAGAGCAGATTGGGAAAATGCAAAAAACCTGTTCCTCCCTCTGGGTGCCTTTAATCCCTCCACGGGCAGGAAAAGTGGGATTGGGGCCACTGCTGGACCTTGGGGAGGTGCTCAGACCCCCCCAGTGGGAGTCATTAGGGCCCCACGACCCTAAAGAGCCCCCCAAAATCCAGCAGAGGCTCCCCAAGTCCTGAAGATTCCTCAGGCTGCCCAGCACCAGGGAGTGAGGAATGCTGCAAAGGGAATTCCATGAAAAATGGGGCTGGGAAAGGTTGGTGCAGCCAGGGAATGGGGTGGGATGGCTGGGACTTTGTGGGGGCTGTGGGGAGAGAAGGGGTCGGGGCGAGGGGATGGGTTTGAGTCTCCTGGGAAGTCTCTGGAGCCACCAGGACCTCTGTCCTCTCCTGTCCCAGGGGATGGGAATTCCAGCTGGGATCCTTCCCTCACCCCAGGGCTGGGTCCTTGTGGGGAGCTGCAGGGCCACGCTGAGCTCCTTGGTGGCCCCCAGGCACGTGGATGTCGCTGTTTTGGGGTGTCCCAGGTGGTTTTGGGGTGTCCCAGGTGGTTCTGGGGTCTCATTCGCCCCCCCAGCCCGGGCTGTGCCACTGCCGCCCTCTGGCGGCTCCTGCGGGCCCTGCACCCGGGGTGTCCCCAATGTGTCCCCAAAGTGTCCCCTCCCCTGGACCCCACCCCATGGTCAGTGATGGGATTGGGATGGGGCTGGGAATGAGAACTCACTCAGGACTGACCCCAAAGCCCCCCCCCCGAAGCCCCCCTGCCCCCTTTTCCCTCCAAAGAAAAGGGATGGCATCACCATCACTTCCCCAAAAATCCCTTTGGGCTGAAATCCCCGAATCCCAAGGGATTTGTGAGGGGAAAATCCACCTCAGACTCCCTGTGGATGAGGAGGTGAGGGGTTCAACACTCCCCACCACCCCAAAAGGTGGGATTCCCACCCATCCCTCCCAGGAATTCCAGTGCAGCCAGGCTGGTGAGGGAGGGCTGTATTTGTGGTGGCACACGGTGACAGCGAGGGTGGCACCGACCTCGGCACCCCCGAGGTGCAAACCAGGAGGAATCCATGTAAAAATAGAGGGAATATTTACACACAGCATCCTTTAAAAAGCTGGCATGTGGGGTGGGAACTCCAGGGCTAGAACATGGCCCAAGGCTGGGTTTAGGGACTCCAGCACGTCACAGCCTCACCCTAAAGCTGCTCCTCAATCCCTGGGGTCCCCTGAGCAGCCTCTGTCCCCTCCTCTCTCCTCCTGCTTCCACAAAAACATTTTATTCCTTATTTTTTTCCTCAGGAATCCTCTCCCTGAGGCTCAGGCAGGTCAGGCCTTGACCCTACACCCCTTTCCCCCAAACACCTTTTCCCTACACCTGCTGCAAATTTAAGCGTTAAATACAGCATTTATGGTTAAATGGGATCCCATTCCCTTTGAAAACCAGCCTGGGGAGCAGCCAGGGCAGCATTCCTGTCCCTGGGAGCTTTGGGATCGGCTGTGCTCTGCCAGGAGCAGCATTCCCATCCCTGTGAGCTTTGGGATGAGCTTTGGGATCAGCTGTGCTCTGCCAGGAGCAGCATTCCCATCCCTGTGAGCTTTGGGATGAGCTTTGGGACGAGCTGTGCTCTGCCAGGAGCAACATTCCCAGCTCTGGGAGCTTTGGGATGAGCTCTAGGATGAGCTGTGCTCTTCCAAGAGCAGCATTCCCAACCCAGGGAGCTTTGGGATGAGCTTTGGGATGGGCTGTGCTCTGCCAGGAGCAGCATTCCCATCCCAGGGAGCTTTGGGATGGGCTGTGCTCTGCCTGGAGCAGCATTCCCAGCCCAGGGAGCTTTGGGATGGGCTGTGCTCTGCCAGGAGCAGCATTCCCATCCCAGGGAGCTTTGGGATGGGCTGTGCTCTGCCTGGAGCAGCATTCCCAGCCCAGGGAGCTTTGGGATGGGCTGTGCTCTGCCTGGAGCAGCATTCCCAGCCCAGGGAGCTTTGGGATGGGCTGTGCTCTGCCTGGAGCAGCATTCCCAGCCCAGGGAGCTTTGGGATGAGCTTTGGGATCAGCTGTGCTCTTCCAAGAGCAGCATCCCCATCCCTGTGAGCTTTGGGATGAGCTTTGGGATCAGCTGTGCTCTTCCAAGAGCAGCATCCCCATCCCTGTGAGCTTTGGGATGAGTTCTGCTCCTCTGCTGCTCCCAAACCCCAAAGCCCTGGACAGGCAGAGCCTGGCTGGGAGCTCAGCTGGGCCCTTCCCAGGGAGCAGAGAGGGGACAAAGGAGCAGAGAGGGGACACAGGAGCAGGGCAGTGACAAAGGTGGGGACTGCCACCCCTTTGGTAGTGCTCCGGGAGTCCTTCCCCTCCTTCCCTCCCTCCCAGAACAGCAGCGATGAGTGAGGAAAAGCCAGCAGGAAAAGCCCTCTGTTGGGACAGACTGACAGACAGACAGACAGACAGTGTCTGTGCCCTCTCTCACACCTTGCCCCGGGGCTCAGAAGTCGCTGAGGATGCTGATGTCGGCGAACTCGGCGCGGTACCGGTGCGAGTACAGGCTCAGCAGCAGCGCCCACTTGAGCGCCATGAAGCTCCACACGCAGGACAGGTAATAGCTCTTGGGGTCAGTCAGGGCTGTGGGGGAAAAACAATGGGATTGGGTGGGAATTCAGTGGGAATTCAGAGGGAATTCGGTGGGAATTCAGAGGGAATTCGGTGGGAATTCAGTGGGAATTCAGTGGGAATTCAGAGGGAATTCGGTGGGAATTCAGTGGGAATTCAGAGGAAATTCGGTGGGAATTCATTGGGAATTCATTGGGAATTCGGAGGGAATTTGGAGGGAATTCGGAGGGAATTCGGAGGGAATTCCAGCTCCTGGGGGCTCTGCACAACCTCTGTGTTCCTTGGAATTCTACTGGAATGGGATGATTTCCCCAGCTCTGCCACCTCCACCCCAAACTCACCTGGTTTGGGGACGGGATTTGTGGGGATTCCTGGATTTGTGGGAATTCCTGGATTGTGGGGGTTCCTGAATCATGGGGATCCTTAGATTTCCCTAAAAATTGTGGAGCTAAGACATTCCCTAAAAACCCCAATTTTCTCCCCAAACAGTTTTCCAAGAAAGGCAGGGATGGCAAATATTTGGTTTTCCTTTCATATCTGTATTTTTAAGGATTTCCCACGTGGATTTTCATCCCTTTGCAGCATGAAAACTCCACGGGGAGTTTCTTTAGGTCGAGCCAAGGGATGTTTTTGGGGTTGTGACCCCACACAGCTTCTCCACCCACCCAGGACAGACCCCGTAGGGCTTCTGAGCAAACAGCAAACCCAGAAAACCTCCAAAAAAACAACCCCCAAATGTTCTCCCTTTGGTCTGGGGCCAAGGAAACCACGGCAGGGATTTGGAGCCATTCCTTGGGGAACGATCAGGGCTTTGGAGCTGGGAATGCTGAGTCAGGGCTTGGAGCTGCTCCAGGAGGGATGGACTCAACCTTTGTCATGGAAATGAGGAAATTCCCAGATTTTTTGGGGGGCTTTGTAATGAAAATTCCCAGATTTTTCGGAAGGGCTTTGACATGGAAATTTGGAAATTCCCAGATTTTTTGGAAGGGTTTTTTCATGGAAATGAAGAAATTCCCAGGTTTTTTGGGGGCTTTGTCATGGAAATGAGGCAGTTCCAGGATTTTTGGAGGTGGCAGGAGCACCCCCAGCCCTCCCCAGTGTTCCCAGTCCCTCCCAGTACTCACACTGGTGCTGGGTGATGGCCAGGGCCAGGAAGGCGCAGAAGCCCAGCCCGGAGAGGGCAGAGAAGAGGATCCCGACGGAGAGGAAGAACCTCAGCCCTTTTAACCAGGTCCTCCAGTAATCCTGCAGGTACATCACATGCGTGATTAGGGCCCAGAGCGCCAGCACACCTGTCCAGGTGACAGCAGGGACATCAGAACGGTACCCATGGACAGGTAAAACACAGCCCAACCCCCCAGAACAGCTGGGAACAGCTGGGAACAGCAGCACACCTGTCCAGGTGACAGCAGGGACATCAGAACAGCCTCTACTGGCCAAGCTCTCCCTGCAGCTGCCAGGACCTGCTGCCCCCCTGCCCACATTCCCTGGGTTCCCACCCCAGACCCCCACAGGACCCCCCATGGCCAATCCCCCCGTGCTGGGGGTCCCCAGGCTGCCAGGAGGGATTTGGGAGCGGGCAGATCCTGTGGGCAGAACTGCAGAGTCATGGCACCCCAAACCGTGCCAGGGTCTGGTGACAGAGCTGAGCCCTCAAGTTCCCCAAAATCACCTCCCCCACTTCCTGCTGGCCCTGGTTCCAGAGCTTTTGAGGCACATTTGGGACAGAAATGGGGAAATTGGGGTTTGGAGTCAGCAAAAAGCTGCTCCCTGCTGAGCCTGCCCGCATGACTCAGCAGAACTGCCCTGAATGCTGAGTCAAGGTTTGCTGTTCCCACCCGGCATCGACATCGCTGCTGCTCGAGTGCCTCGCTGCTGCTGCTGCACCAGAGTGCCTCGAGTTCCCCTGATCCCGACCCAAACCCTCACCCAAACCCTGATCCAATTCTAATCTAAATCCTGATCCAAACCTGACCCAAACCCTGATCCAATTCTAATCTAAATCCTGATCCAAACTCTGATCCAAACCCAAATATAAATCCTGCGCCAAAATCTGATCCTGACCCAAACCTTTATCCAAACCCTGACCCAAACTCTGATCCAATTCTAATCCAAATCCTGACCCAAACCTTTATCCAAACCCTGACTCAAACCCTGATCCAATTCTAATCTAAATCCTGACCCAAACTCTGATCCAAACCTGACCCAAACCCCGATCCAATTCTAGTCTAAATTCTGATCCAAGCTCTGATCCAAACCTGACCCAAACACTGATCCAATTCCAGTCCAAACCTGACCCAAACTCTGGTCCAAACCTGATCCAATTCTAATCCACATCCCGATCCAAACCCTGACTCAAACCCAAAAATAAATCCTGAGCCAAACACTGATCCTGACCCAAATCTTCATCCAAACCCTGACCCACATCCCAATCCAACTCTAATCCAAACCTGATCCAATTCTAATCCAAATCCTGACCCAAACCCTAATCCAAGCCCTAATCCAATTCCAATCCAAACTCTGATCCTGACCCAAACCTTGATCCAAACCCTCACCTAAACCCTTATCCAACTATAATCTAAACCCTGACCCAAACCCTGATCCAATTCTAATCCAAATCCTGACCCAAACTCTGACCCAAACCCTGATCCAAACCCTGATCCAATTCCAGTCCAAGCCCTGACCCAAACCCTGATCCAATTCCAGTCCAAGCCCTGACCCAAACTCTGATCCAAACCTGATCCCAACCCCAACTCAAGCCCTGACCCAAGCCCTGGCCCAGCTCTCCAGAGGCAGCTCTGGGCCAAAACATCACCTGAAAAACTCAAGAGTTTGAAACCATTTTTAGTGGGCAATGAAATAAAAGTGGTGACTATTGAAAGCTTGGGGTGACTGCCTGCAGGAGCTGCAGGTTTTCACCCCAGGGATTCCCCAAATCCAGCCCTCCTGCCCTATAAAAACACCTTGTTCCTAAAGCTGAGCCAGGGCACAAAACCCCAGAGCAGCAGCAGAGCCTGCACGGCTCCAGTCCCACCCAAACCCCTCCATAAAAACACAATTCCCACCCAAACCCCTCCATAAAAACACAAATCCCACCCAAACCCCTCCATAAAAACACAAATCCCCGTGGATTTACCCCAAACCTAGGGCCCTGGAGCAGGAGCTGCCCCATCAGACACACCCCAAGGATTTCCAGCAGGGAATCCAACCCAAATTATCCCAGGATGCAAAAAAGGAAAGCCCCAAAGAGCCCCAAGGAGAGGGGAGCTGGAAGGTACCAGGGAAAAATCAATTTCTGAGTAAAACACAAAAACCTCCCAGCACCTGAAATAAACCCCAGGAGTTCAAAGCAGGGCTGGGGAATGATTCTCCCCCCATCAGACCCAAATATTTGGATAATGTTTGGGCTGTTTGAGCTCCAGGGAAATGAGCTTTCCCTCTCTGCAAACATCCAAACAAAAACTGGGACAAACACAAGGTTTTGTCAGCCTCCTGCTCCTCCTGGAGGGATCCTTCAATCCCAGAGGAGATTTTTTTGGGAATGTTCCATTTGTCACACATGGAAATCCTGGGGAAAAACAACAAATCTGCAGCAGAGGCCAAAAAAAAAATGCACAAACAAACACCAAAAATTCAGATTTATTCCACAAGGAGCCCCCCGACTCCAGCATTCCTGCAAGGAGCATCGTGTGGTGATGGCAAAGAAAATGACGGTGAAAATAAAAAGTAACATTAAAAACCCCCTGAAATTGGGGACTGATTCCAAGATTGTTTTTTTTTCTGTGTGTTTACAAAGCCTTCAGTCCTTTTCTAGCTAAACAATCCCCTTTTTATCCACTCCAGCTGCAGCATCAGCTGGAAGGAGCTGAAATCCCCACTCCAACAGGGGCTGGGGCTTTGCCAAGTGAAATTTTGCCATTTCCACGTTTGTCAAACTTTGCCTCTCCTGGGGGAACCCAGGAGCCTCAGCTGGGCTTGGAGCAGGTCAGAAATGGGGGGATTTTCCTGACAAAACTGCTGGGGCTCCACACTGAGATATTTCAGGAAAATAGCTCTGGAAGGAGAGGAACCTTTGGAATATTCTGGTGTTGTACCAGATCCCATATTCAGCTCCCATTCCTTCCATTTCAGGTGTTTTTAAAATTCTCCCAAGCCCCTGCGACTGGGTGGAAACGGAATTAAGTCCCTGGGACATATAAGGGGTTTTATTTCATTAATTCCAGCCCCAGCATCGTTTTCCCTCCACGGCACTTCAGACTTGGATCAAGTTTTGACTGTAAATAGCAGGGAATTAGTGAAATTTAGGGCTAATTCCCAAGCAGGAAAGGTTCTCTGGGAGATAAGGGAAATATCAACAAACTGATTGCAGAGACAAAGCTGGAGACCCCTCAGAACCAGGAGGAATTCTCCCAGCCAGGAAGCCTGTGGATAAACATCCTCAAACACAGCTCCAAAGGCACAGCAGAGGCATTAAAAACGAGGTAAACACGGGCCAGCAGGCAGAGCTTGGCTTAATCAGGGCACTTTGAGGAGGACCTGCAAATTCCGCTGTCAAAATTCCACTCTCAAAATTCCTCTGTCAAAATTCCTCCCTGAGCAAAAACACAGCAGAAAATACCTTCATTTGCTCTTTCTCCTGCATTTCTGGTTCAAGATCCCCCCCAGTTTTCTGCCACCCAGCAAAGTGTGGGAATTCTCTGCTGAATCCCAGCTCCAACTGGAAATAAAAGCTTTTTTTTCTTTTTTTTTTTTGTCTTTTTTTTTTTTTTTTTTTTGAGGGAGAGGAAGCAGAGACAAGCCCAGCCATGCACCTCACCCTTGGATCCTTTCTAAATTTTAACTTCACTTTCTACTCTGGCAGGAATTCAGGCAGGGAAGCCCTGGAGCTGCAGGACTCTGTCCTGCTCCACCCCAACCATTAACCCAGAGCCACAAACCCCCAAATCTCAGATTTCTGGGCACATCAGGGGCAGTTTTACCCCCCGAAACCCAAACCCCTCTTCCAGAGGGTCTGCTTGCAGCATTTGGGGAAATCAGGAGGATTTCTTTGCTTCCCTGAAAACTTCAGCCCCAAGGAAGGGGCTCCTCGGCCCCACTGGTGCCATGACACCCTCTCAGCCCTGATACCCCCAAACTGCTGCCCTGACACCCCCAAATTCAGCCCTGACACCCCCAATTGCTGCCCTGACACCCCCTCAGCCCTGAGATGCCCCTCAAGTCCTCAAGCTTCCCCTCAGGGATGAGGAAGGGGGTCCTTGGCCCCACCATGGCCCTCACTCCCCTCACAGCCCCCTCAGGGATGAGAAATGGCCTCCTCACAACCCTCATGGCTGAGGAAGGGGCTCCTCACATCCCTCACAGCCCTCAGGGATGAGGAAGGGGCTCCTCACACCCCTCACAGCCCTCAGGGATGAGGAAGGGGCTCCTCACACCCCTCACAGATCCTCACTCCTCTCATGGCTGAGAAATGGGCTCCTCACACCCCTCATGGCTGAAGAAGGGCTTCTCACAGACCCTCACTCCCCTCATGGCTGAAGAAGGGAATCCTCACTCCCCTCTCACTCCTCACAGCCCCCTCAGCCACGGGGAATGGGCTCCTCACACCCCTCACGGCAAAGCAAGGGGCTCCTCGGCCCCACCGCCGCCCTGACCCGCTCCATCACGCCCAACCCCGATCCCTCCCTCAGGCTGATCCCGCTCAGCCCTCCCGGGCCGGTGCCCAGTGCCCGCTCGCCCCCGGTGCCGTATCCAAGAGCCCACCCTCCCGGCCCGGTGCCCCTCGTCCCCCGGTGCCGAACCCGAGAGCCCTCCCGGCCCGGTGCCCGGTGTCCCCTCAGCCCCGGTGCCGTACCCGAGAGGCCGCCGGCCGCAGCCGTGCCGGGCTGGCGCAGCGCGGGCACCACGCTCCAGGCGCAGAAGGCCGAGAGGCCGCTCAGGGCACCGAAGGACGCGTAGGCGACACGGAGCGCCAGGGCCCCGTTCAGCGCCATGGCGGCCTCGGCGCGGCCCGCCCACGGCACCGGGACACGCCCCGGGAACGCGACGGCACCGGGACACGCCTCGGGAACGGCAACGGCAACGGGACACGCCTCGGGACACGGGAACGGGACACGCCCCGGGAACGGCAACAGCAACGGGACACGCCTCGGGACACGGGACTCGGACACGGGACTCGGACACGGGACACGGGATCGGGACACGCCTCGGGAACGGGGACAGGACACGGGACACAGCACCGCGAGACGGGAACAGGACACGCCTCGGGACAGGGACACTCCCCGGGACACGGCACCGTCCACCGGGACTTGGACACGCCCACAGACACCGGGACACGCCCACATGAGCGGGACACGCCCACCAGGACCGGGACACGCCCCCGGTCCCGCCCCATCGTAACGCGCCCCCTGGCGGGCGGGAGGACTGAGGAGGGGACACGAAGGGACGGGGACACCGCGGGGGGACACGGAGACCACCGAGGGGACACGAGGGAACACCGCGGGGGGACACGGAAAACACCGGGGGGACACGGGCGGCATCGGCAGGTGGGGAGCGTGTGGCGTTGGGGACATCTCCGAGTGGCTTTCGCTTCCCCCCGGCCCATCCTGTGGGATTGCGGTCTGGGGACACCTCACCAAAATCCTCGAAGACTCTTTGGGGCTTTTCCGTTCCCTTTTCTCCCTTCCGCTTTTTTTATTTGCTTATTTTTTTTTTTTAACATTCTTCCCCCTTCTGAGCCCTTGGCTGGGTCCGGCTCTGCTTCATCCGCGGGGGCACAAATTTCCAGCGAGGATTGGTGTGAAAATGGGATTTTCTTACTTATTTCTCATCATTAATTAATCGTCCTGCGAGCGCCACGGGGACAGAGGCGCTCCCCGAGGCTGGGAATTCGGCTTTTCCCGAATTTCCCGGTTCAGCCTCCCCCAAAAGGATCTTTGAAGCTCGGCTGGGCTGCTCTAGGTGGCAGCAGCCTCCTTCCCTTTCCCGAGCCATTCCCGCTCTTCATCCACCTCCCCACCCCTCCTCCTCCTCCTCCTCCATCTCCCTTCCCCCTCTCCATCCATCCCTGCGTGCCCCCCTCTGGAATTCGGGTTTTGGGGGGTTGGATGGGGCTTGGAGCGCCCTGGGACAGGGGAATTGTCGCTGTCCTGTTCTTCCACCCCAGCCCGCAGCTCCCACCCTGCTCAGGGAGCCAAAATTCCACCCAGTTTGACCTAAAATTCCCCCCAGTTTGACCCAAAATTCCCCCCCCAGTTTGAACCAAAATTCCCACTCAATTTGATCCAAAATTCCCCTCCATTTTGACCTAAAATTCTCCCCAACTTGACCCAAAATTCCCCCCCAATTTGATCCAAAATTCCCCCCCAATTTGACCCAAAACCCCAGTGAAATCCCAAAAACCCAATGACACCCCAAAATTCAGTGACACCCCTAAAACCCAGTAAAATCCCAAAAACCCCAAAGACATCCCAAAAACCCGGTGAAATCCCAAAATCCCAGTGAAATCCCCAAAAACCTGGTGAAATCCCAAAATTCCGTGACACCCTAAAAACCTGGTGACACCCCTAAAGCCCCATGAAATCCCCAAAACCCAGGGACATCCCTAAAACCCAGTGACACCCCAAAGATCCCTAAAACCCAGTGACACCCTAAAACCCAGTGAAACCCCAAAAACCCCATGAAAACCCCAACAACCCCGGCTGTCCTTGCCCAAAGACTCGCAGCTACCGCCCCGCCGTGGGATTTTGAGCGTGAAAACCTCGAGAGCGGCGAAGCAAAAATTGCATTTCCTGAAAAATTCCATTTCTTGAAAAATTCCGTTTCCTGAAAAATTGCATTTCCTGCAAAATTGCATTTCCTGCTGCGGCTGCAGGAACGCGGGAGGGAACGAGCGGCGTCAGCAGCGCCAGGTGAGATCAGAGATCCGAGATCAGAGATCCGAGATCGGCTCCTCCTCGCCCAATTCCCCCCGGGAATTTCGGGGCCCATTTTGTCATCCCGGCTCTGCTGACTCTGCCCGAGCCTTGGGGATGCTCTGGGGTGATTTTTGTGCAGGTGGGAAATGGCTCAGAGCCATGGAGGACCAAAATCTGGGGTTGTTTTTTGATTTTTTAGGGTTTTTTTTGGTTCTTTTTTTGGGTTTTCTGAGAGATTTTTTTTTTTTTTGCCTTTTGGGGTTTGTTTCACGCTGGGTTTTTTGTTTCTCTTGTTGGTTTTTTTGGGGTTTTTTGGTTGGTTTGGTTGGGGATTTTTTTGTTGTATTTTTGATTTTTTTGGTTCATTGGTTGATTGCGTTTTTGTGGGGTTCTTTTGATTTTTTTGGTTTGGTTTTTGGTTTTTCACTTTTTGGACCCAAAATTGGCTTCCTCAGCACTGCCTACCCCAGGCACCTGGATTTTCCAAAAGTGGATGGGATGGAAATGGGGAGAGGAGGAGGAAGAGGAGGAACCGCTCCAGGTGGGAACAGCGACGTTCCTGCACCTCCACCCCACCCCAGCCCAGCAGTTCCCACCCATTTTTTCCACTTTTTGGCCCAAAATTGGCTTCCTCAGCACTGCCTACCTCAGGCATCTGGATTTTCCAAAAGTGGATGGGATGGAAATGAAGACAAGAAGGAGGAGGAGGAGGAGGAGGAGGAGAAACCACTCCAGATGGGAGCAGCGATGTTCCTGCTCCTCCACCCCAGCCCAGCAGCTTTCACCCATTTTTTTCACTTTTTGACCCAAAATTGGCTTCCTCAGCACTGCCCACCCCAGGCAGCAGCTCCAGGTGACACCTGGATTTTCCAAAGGTTGGTGGGATGGAAATGAGAACAAGAAGAGGAGGAGGAAGAGGAGGAACCGCTCCAGGTGTGAACAGCGATGTTCCTGCTCCTCCACTCCACCCCAGCCCAGCAGCTTTCACCCATTTTTTTCACTTTTTGACCCAAAATTGGCTTCCTCAGCACTGCCCACCCCAGGCAGCAGCTCCAGGTGACACCTGGATTTTCCAAAAGTGGATGGGATGGAAATGGGGAGAGGAGGAGGAAGAGGAGGAACCGCTCCAGGTGGGAACAGCGACATTCCTGCTCCTCCACCCCATCCCAGCCCAGCAGTTCCCACCCGGTTTTTTTCATTTTTTGGCCCAAAATTGGCTTTCCCAGCACTGCCCACCCCAGACACCAGCTCTGGGTGCCACCTGAGGTGCCACCTGAGATGACACCTGAGGTGCCACCTGTGTTTCCAGGGCTGTGGACCTTGGCCCCGCTCCCCAGCACCTGTGCTTGCCCCGGAGCTTTCCCAGTTATCGCTCCTGCCCCAGCCTCGGGAACAGCTGGGAAACAGCCGGATTTACCGGATGAGGGATCCTTCCTCCTCCTCCCTCCTCCTCCTCCCTCCCCGGGGCTGGAGCTGGGAACAAAAGGAGGAAAATCAGCGGGGATGGGACAGCCCTGTTTGCTTCCCGAGAGGGTTTGGCCTTGAGGCCGTTTTGTTTTGTCCCTTTTAAAGGAACATTTCAGCCACGGGAGGAGCTGGGGCTGAGAGCCCAGAAACGCCAAAGGCCCAAAGGGGAAAGGAAAAAGGAAAAGTTGAGGAAGTGCGAGGTTCCAGCTTGTCCTGGTGTGAGGAATGGTCACAAATCCTTGGGAAAAACAAATTCCATCTTTGGGAAAAAAAACCAAATTCCATCTTTGAGAAGAAACAAATCTCACCCTTGGGAAACAGAAACAAATCCCATCTTTGGGAAACAGAAAAAAATTCCATCTTTGAGAAGAAACAAATTCCATCTTTGGGAAAAACAAATCCCACATTTGGGAAACAGAAACAAATCCCATCTTTGGGAAAAACAAATCTCATTTTTGGGAAAAATAAATCCTACCCTTGGGAAAAACAAATCCCATATTTGGGAAACAGAAACAAATCCCATCTTTGGGAAAAACAAATCCCACCCTTGGTAAACAGAAACAAATCCCATATCTGGGAAAAACAAATCCCACCTTTGGGAAAAACAAATCCCATCTTTGGGAAGCACAAATAAATCCCATCTTTGGGAAGAAATAACTCCCATCTTTGGGGGAAAAAAATCCCATATTTGGGAAAAACACCAAATTCCATCTTTGGGAAACACAAATAAATCCCATCTTTGGGAAGAAGTAAATCCCATCTTTGAGAAGAAACAAATCCCATCTTTGAGAAGAAACAAATCCCATCTTTGGGAAAAACAAATCCCACCTTTGGGAAACAGAAACAAATCCCATATTTGGGAAGAAACAAATTCCATCTTTGGGAAAAACAAATCCAATATTTGGGAAAAAACAAATTCCATCTTTGGAAAAAACAAATCCCATATTTGGGAAACAGAAACAAATCCCATCTTTGGAAATATCAAATCCCACCTTTGGGAAAAGCATTGCTTTTCTTTCTCCTCTCTTTGGGTTGTTGGTAGGACTCAGTGACCTTATTGGGTTTTCCAACCTGAACAATTCCACTTTTCCCACTTTTCCGCGGTGTTCTGGGCGCTCAGCCCTTGCTGGCCTCGGACCTGAGGCGCCTGCAGCTCCTCGGAGACGCAAACCTGGGAATCGTTTCAGGAAGGAGCCGAGCGGGCACGGAAAGACCGGGAGAACAAGACACATCACGTTCCCCGGATGATAATGAGGGAATGAAATTAAACCACCTGGGAGACCAAAACTCTCCTTCCTTCCTTCCTCAGGAGCAGCTTCCCCTCCGCGGCAGCAATCCCTGCCTGAGCCATCACCCGTGGAAAATCCAGAAATGAATCACGCCCAGAACTGGGGAACGCGGCTCAGATAATTCCTAAAGCTGCTGTTCCAGCCCAATAAAACCCCGTGCAACAACAAGGGGGCGTCCCATAATTTGTGTTCATTCCGGAATCGCTGCTAATTCCGGCCCAATTAGGAGATAAAACACGGCGCCGGAGCCGTTTATTAAATTACAAATCATCCCGGCTAAATCCGAGGATTATTTAACACCGAGGGTTTGGGGGAGCTGCGCCGGAATAACGATGTCAGGGGAGCAGGGGCGTTAATCAAAGTAATGAAAACATAAATTA